AAATGTGCTAAAAAGCACAGGGGGTGCATTTTTTTTTCCCTTTAATGGAAAATTAAAGTGGCAACATCTTTTTTTTTTTTTTTTTTTTTTTTTTTTGGTCTTTTTAAGACAAGGTCTCACTGTAGCCACAGCTAGTCTGGATTTACTAATGGAAGCCAAGTTGGCCTCGAATTTACAGATCCGCCTGCCTCTGCCTCCCAAGTGCTGGGATTAAAGGTGTGTGCCACCAAGCCCAGCTATTTTCTTCCATTCTTATTTGGTGGCTTTAAGGTTAGTGTTTACAAGGAATTCAGCCTACCCTGGGAGAGGTGGCCAGAGATAGAGAGGGGTCAGCTCAGTGACACTCAAAGTGACTAACTTTCCCCGTTTATCCGCAGCATGGAGGACTGCAGTAGGTAGGGTTGGCAGGACCTTCAGTCTCTAAACTAGCAAAGTCTCACCAAGCTTAGTTACCCCCAGCCTTTGTTCTGTAGATATGGTGACATTTGAGCAATTTAAGACTCTGGGAGGGCGAGATGGCTCAGCAGGTAAAAGCATGTGCTTCCAAGCCTGACAACCTGAGTTTTAATCCCTGGGTCACAGATGGTGGAAGGAGTTGTCCTCTGACCTCAACATGAGGGTGCCTACCTACCTACCTACACACACACACACACACACACTGTAATAAAAATTTCAGCCGAGGGCTGGAGAGATGACTCAGTGGTTAAGAGCAGTGGCTACCCTTGCAGAGGGGACCCTGGATTTGGTTTCTAGCACCCTCATGGTAGCTCAGGGAATCTGACACCCTCTTCTGGCCTCTGAGGGCATTGCATAACAAGGGTGCACTTACATCTATGCAGATAAAAGTTTTACGAATAAAGTCATTTATTTTTAAAATATTTTTTATGTGTATGCATGTATTGCCTGCATGTAGGTAAGTGCACCTGTGTCATGCAATACCCATGAAGGACAGAAGAGGCTGTCAGATCCCCTGGAACTGGAGTACGGACAGTTGTTAGCTGCCATGTGGGTGCTGGAATTCAAACCCAGGTCTTCTGCAAGAACAGCCAGTGTTCTTAATGGCTGAGCCATCTCTCCAGCCCCACATAAATAAATTTAAAGGGGGCTGGAGGATGGCTTAACTGTTAAGAACACTTGGTGTTCTCCAGATGACCTAGGTTTGATTCCCTGTACCCACATGGCAGCTAACAACCACCCATAAGACCCAGAAGAGGGTCCAGCACCCTCTTCTGACCTCTGCAGGCATTGCATGCATGTGGTACACTTACATATATGCAGGCAAAGCACTCATACACATAAATTTTTTGGTAAACATTTAAAAAATATTTTATTATTTTATGTGTATTGCCTGCATGTAGGTAAATCCACTCGTGTTGTGCAATGCCCACAGAGGTCAGAAGAGGCTCTTGGATCCCCTGGGACTGGAGTTATGGACAGTTGTTAACTGCCATGTGGGTGCTGGGATTTGAACCCAAGTCTTCTACAAGAACAATCAGTGTTCTTAACCCCTGAGCCATCTCTCCAGCCCCACCCCGCCCCCAATTTTTTTTTTTCTTTTTTTTTTTTTGGTGTTTTTGAGACAGGGTCTCCCTGTAGCCCCAGCTGTCCTGGAACTCACTATGTGGACCAGGCTGGCCACATAGTGGCCTGCCTCTGCCTCCCAAGTGCTGGGATTAAAGGCATGCGCCACCATGCCCATTATTTTAAAGTACATCCCACCACCCCTGCTTTCTAAGAAGATCAAAGAGGCACGAATCACAATGCTGTGCAGCTCAAGTGAGATAAGAATTGTCCATTATCTCTGTTAATATTTTGCTATTACATAATTTTATCATCATTTTGTTTTTGTCTTTTTTTTTTTTTTCGGAGCTAAGGACCAAACCCAGGGCCTTTCGCTTGCTAGGCAAGTGCTCTACCACTGAGCTAAATCCCCAACTCCCATCATTTTGTTTTTAAAAATGACTTTTATGCATATGCCTGCCTGCATGTATGTATATGTACTATATGTATGTAGTGCCCAGAGGCCACAAAGATGGCATCAGATCCCTTGGAACTGGAGTTAGATGGTTGTTAGCCACCATGTGGGTGCTGGTAACTGAACCCGGGTCCTCTTCAAGACCAGTCAGTGCTCTTAACCACTGAGCCATCTCTCCAGCCCATTTTGCTGTTGTTTTAAGACGGCCTCAGCTGGGCCTATCCAACCCTGCCCATTCTTTTTGGGCTATGGTCCTCTTGTCTCCCTTCCTGAGTAGTGGGATAACAGGCCTATGTCTAAGGTATGTTCTAGTTTTATCAAACATTCTTTATGCAGCATCAAGAAACCCAAAGGCTCCTTTGTAGTTAATGGTAACATCACTATAGATGCGATTTCAAACAGAATTTCTATTACTGTACTATGGATGCTTATTAGTTTTTTTGAGACAGGTTCTCCCTGTAGCCTCAGCAGGCCTGAAATTTGCTATGTAGATCAGGCTGGCCTTGAGCTTAAAGAGATCTGCTTGCCTCTGCCTCCATAGTGCCAGAATTAAAAGTGTGTGTCACTACACCCACCTCATGTTTCTATCTTGATTTTGTTTCAACCCTTGAATTAAAATTTTTCCTATACTCCTAACACTTGCTGATATTTAACACATAGTAGAGTGGGCTGGAGGGGCTGGAGAGATAGCTCAGCAGGTGAGAGCACTGGCTGCTTTTGCAGAGGACTTAGGTTTGGTTACCAGCACGTACATGGCACGAAAGCTAACAACTGTCTGTAACTCCAGTTCCAGGGAATCTAACACCCTCTTCTTCCAACCCGTGTTGCATGACACGGGTGCACTTACATTCAAGCAGGCAATACACTCATACACATAAAATAAAAATAACAAAATTAAAAATATTTTTAAAATAAAAATATAGAACAGGGGGCTGGAGAGATGGCTCAGCGGTTAAGAACACTGGTTGTTCTTGCAGAAGACCCAGGTTCGTATCCCAGCACCCAAATGGCAGCTAACAACTGTCTGTAACTCCAGTTCCAGGGGATCCGAAGGCCTCTTCTGTCCTCTGTGGGCATTGCATGACATGGGTGCACTTACCTACATGCAGGCAATACATGCATACACATTGAAAAAAGAAAATCAAACTTCTTATAAATAGTCACTAATTTCCAGGAGACAGTCACTACCCAGCCTTCTCCACTCTCCCCCTGTCACCCCCAGGAGTGCTGTCAGGCTCTTAGGGAAGCCTACATTCCTCAGAGGAGATTCTTTGATGGGAATCTGATTCTGGAGACTGTTAAAATAGTAACGTACAAAATGAGGTGGCTTTTTCCACCTGAGGTTTCCCAGACAGCCAGACCCCCAAACAGCTTTCCAGGCCCCATTTTTGTGGCTGATGCTGTCAGGTGTCTGCCAAGGAGATTCAGCACTTGGCTCTTCACTGCTGAGGAATGGGCTCTGTAGATGCATACAGTAGGATCAGGGAGTGCTCAACCGCATTCCAGAAAAACCCTCTTCCTCTATGGAAAACTGTCCTGGAGCCTCACTGTCTCTCCAGGTCTCTTCCTGTGGACATTTCCTGGGAGATGTAAGTCAGGAGAAACCTTTGATTATTGGGATGTGAAACATGAAGGGAGACTATTTATGGGGATGAGCCTGGCTTTGTTCATGAACACATTTTTGTGGGATGAAAACCTAGAAAGAGTGGAAATGGAAATCCATCTGTTAGTACGGCTTCATGAGGGAAGGCAATGCTCAGCCCAGCACCCAGCACCTGCAGACTTCACACACACTTCACGGCCTGAACGAACCTGACTGGGGAGCTATGAAGTCTTCCTGTGGGGACTGGTATGACCTCAAACCCCACCCCAGTAAAAAGCAGAATTTAGCTTTGGAATCTTTTCATTGAAAAAAAGAATTAATTTATTTACTGTGTATTAGTGTGTATGTATGTGCCCTTCACCCACTGAGCCTTCTTGCTGGTCTGAGTTTCTGCATTCTTACAGAAGGTACCTTTGGTGTTCTTAACGACTGTGGGTGATTGATAGGTTTATAAGTCAGTGGCAGTACAAAGTGCCCTGCTGTCCAGAGCCCTAATTCGTGCAGCAGGACTCCTGGGTATTTAGGTTTGCCTGCCCTTGACTTTAGTGGGACACCCCACCCAAGCCCAGGTGTCGCGTGCCCCCACAGAAGTTGTGTTTTCCTACTATAGGGACAGATGCACAAGTGGCGCACACACACGTCACCCGCCCCCCAGGAGCAAGAAGATGTAGACAACATTCAGCCAGACAGCACCTCCAGAGACGGGAGCACCGGCGGCAGCTGTCAAAAGGAGACGTCGCTTTGCTTTCTTTTAAACTTGCAATGTTCGTCTTTATTTTGTTCCGTATATTTTGAAAGTGAAAAGAAATAGTATTGAGTCAATTCCTTTTTGTTTTTAAATATTTGTTCTATATATTTACAAGCCTTAAAGTTGCTCTAAAGATTTCAAAAGTATTAAGAGTACTTTTTCCAGGGTAGCACTTGTTTTGAACAATTCTTGGAGTTTTCTGGTCCACAGCACTTCCTTCTATTCCAAGGTTATGTATGTTTTGATTACTATTGTGATTTTTTAATTTTCTGAAGCAAGCTGAGAGGCAGGCAGAAAGATTTGATGCCGGGGGTGGGTGGGGGAGGGGCAAGAAGAGAGAGAAAATAAAGATCTTTCTTACCTTGTTCCCCTCGAACCTTCTCAAATCTGGACTACCAGCTATGCCTTAACACACGTGAGGTGCATCTGAAGGGGAGGGGATTTATCTCTGTTTTTCTATTATACAAGTTGTTTACAGAAACTGCAAATTAAAAAATTACATACTGGCATTTGCAGTCCTTAAAATAAATTAAAAGTTCAACTTTTTTTTCTTTTTTCTTTTTTTTTTTTTTTTGGCTAAATGTGGTTTTTTTTTTTTTTCAAAGTATGTATGAGTCCTTGTTTAAAAAGAAAAGATTAAAACAGAAAATATTTTCTATAAATAATACATGTATTTTGGTTTTCCTGCTCCCGCCCTCAGGGTTGAGGTTTGCTTCTTCCAGTACCTTTTTCCTCCATGATCACTTGTCCTTCCCCCGCCCACTCGTGCACACGTGAGGTTTCTGCGAGAATTGGCCTTGCTGCACTGTGATTGGCGAAGACGTGAAACTTTTTAAAAAAATACTTAAATTGTTTCTTCTGTTTCGTTTTGTGTATTTGAGGTTTTAGTTATCCTCAGACTCCTCTTCTGCCTCTCGCAGCCACGTGAAAAACGCAGTGACAGATTTGAGGGCCACGCCCTTCCCGTTCTGCTCGGCCGGGTCCTTGCTGCTCTCCCATTTGTAGAATGCATCCTCCGAGATTACCTCCTCATCGTACAGGCAATCAAAGAACATCCGGAGCAAATCTGCCAGGGGTGGAAAACAGCCATTGGTTTGGGCACTGCAGCTGTGAGTGCAGCGAATGCTGCACTTCCACGCCAGAGCAGCACACCACACCACACTCACTCTTGACACACATCTGCAGGGGTGCAAAGCATAAGCAGTCTGAATGATTTTCATCATTTATTTTATTCAGATTCAACTATGTTCTAAAACTGGTAAGGCTGTTTCCTCTTATGTGGTTCTCAAACTAAGCACTAAAAATTAAGTATGATCCCCCCTCTAATAATGTATTTTTTTAAAATATTTTATTATTTTTATTTTATGTGGATGAGTGGATTGACTGCGCGTTTTGGATTTTTCTGGTGTTTTTTTATGGACAGTTCATAGCCACCATGTGCTGGGAATCGAACCCAGGTCCTTTGCAAGAGCAGTCAGTACTCTTAACCGCTGAGCTCTCTCTCCAGCCCCCTAACAATGTATTTTAAAAATGAAAAGATTGTTTATATGGAAATCAGGGCAGAAACTATTTCATTTACTTTTTTTTTAGTTATAATCTTATATGTGTGTGTGTTTTGCCTGCATGTATATAAGTACACCCAAGCATTTCCATGCCTATGGCCAGAAGAGGGTGTCAGAGCTCCTGGAACTAGAGTTAAGGACAGTTGTTAGCCATCATGTGGTACTGGAATGGAACCCAGGTCCTCTCCAAGAGCAGCCAGTTCTCTTATCCCCTGAACCATCTCTCCAGGTTATCCAGTGAAAAAATAGTTATTTGTTGTTTTAAAGGTCTAAACAGGAGAGATACAGAGATGGCTCAGTGGCTCTTCACTCCACTGATGTCTTCTGGCTTCCAAGCGCATTTCATGCACAGGTGTACTTACTACATACACGTAGGAAAAACACACATATAAGAAAAAAAATTAAATGTCTTAAACTGTCTGAATAACTTTTAATTACTTTTCTCTCACAGTGGAAACTTACTGTTCAAAAAAAGGGAGAGAGTTGGCAGAGTGTATTTACGCTTACTTTAAAATAAACTCTTTGGAACTGGGAGTGTATAGCTCAGTGGAGCATTTACCTGTTAGGACTAACATCCAACCCACAGCACTGCAAAAGGAAAGAAATTCCTCTACAACGGCTCTTAAGATTTGTTTGGTTGGCTTTTTGATCATACACACTTATCAGAGATGCAGTAACTGAAGAATAAACGTCATTAAACACAAGGTCTAGAATGACTCATTGTTAAATTTTTTCTGGAATAATCTTTATAATTATGTTAATCCAGTTAACTCTGAAAGAAAAATCACTTTTTCCTCCTTAAAACCCTGTCTGATCTATAGAGAAATGGAAAAGGGGGTCATGATCTGACAGTGTTAAGTTCCCAGGCCAGTACCTCTCTAAGGAGGACTGTAATTGATAATAATGGGAGCTACTTAGAGTACAGAATGTCAATTTCACCCTGTAACTTGACCACTTCATTTGAAAACCTACCATCCTTTTCCTGTAGCTATAAAGAAAAGGAAGGTATCCTGTTAAAGATTTCAAAAGACTCAGAGAGAAGGGAAAGCAAATCAAAATTTCAGATCAGACTTAGATGCCTCTTAGACTCTGAGTATGATAATATGTTTTAGCTTTTTCTCTCCCAGAACAATTTAGGAGTGTTTGCAAAGAAGGGAAACTCTGCAAAAGTCACAACCTAACCACAGGGTTTACAAACCACCTCAAAGGCATCGCTGAAATAATCCTGTACCACTCACGTGCAGGAATTGCAGTAGAATCTTCGAGACCTCAATCAATGATCCACGAGCCAGCATCTCTAACACTGGGTGTGGAGGTAACCTTATGTGTCTGTTTAGTCTAAAACTTGTGGTAACTATGGGATGAGAAAGCCAGTGCTCAGGATTCTGAGGCCTTTAACTATGCCCACTTGTGCTGTCTAATATGTATCTAATATGTACACATGTGACAACTTAGATGGACATGAACCAAAATGGAAAATTCAGTTCTCAGTCACAATACCCATATTTATGTGCAGAATGGCCATAAGCAGCTTGTGATTACCAGGTTACCACACTGAACAGTACATACATTTCCATTATGGGAAGGGTTTTTTCAGGGGAGGGAGGGATCTTTTTGAGACAAGGTCTCTCTGTAGCCTCAGCTGGCCTAGAGCTCACTAGGTAGACCAGGCTGGCCTTGAATGCACAGAGATCTGCTTGCCACTGCCTCCTGAGTGCTGGAATTAAAGGCATGTGTCACCATGCCCAGCTCATTATGGGACATATGTCTCCTTCTATGGAGACCCTGTCTCAATAAGACAAAAAAAAAAAAAAAAAAAAAATCTCTAGGTTTTCTTTTTTCTAAGGTTTTTTACATTTTCAGATAGGATCTCATGCTGTAGCCCAAGTTGGTCTAGAATCACTATACAGCCCGAACTGGCTGTGAACCCATGATCTTCCTGACTCACCCCCACAAATGCTGGCATGACAGGAAGAAGCCACCACACCTGGCTAAACCAGATTTCTTACTACCATTTTCTCACACAAGGAGATAAGAAATTCAGATTATTTTAAGTTGCTGATGACGTGAACTGTTACATATGATTTTTCTACTGACTATCTTTAAACCCCAAGTCAACTTTGAAGTCTTGCCTGGGTCTCACCGACTGGCTGAGTTAACTGTAACATGATGAAAACTTACTGGCAGGTTGATCAAGTTTTACTATGGATGCTTGTAGTGCATAAAGTGCTTGCAGTTCCTTCTCCGTATCTGAGTCTAGGTACTTGAGTAAGATCGGCACTCTTTGCTTGATGACAGCGGTGTCCACTCTGAAGGAAGAGCAGTCAGCTGGAGGAGACACATGAACCAGGAGTTAGCATACATGACCACTTCACTTCTCTGAGTACCCTGGACATGTGAGCATCTGTGAGAGGAGCAGTGAGATCCAAGGCAAAGATTTGTAGGTTTCTTTTAAAGATAGAGAGGGTCTCACTATAGAGCCCTGGCTGGCCTGGAACTCTGCTATGTACCAGGTTGGCTTCACAGCCAGCATCTCAAAACCTGCCGGCATCTGCTTCCTTGGTGCTGGGATTAAAGGTGTATGGCTCTACGCCTGGTAATCCAAGACAAATATTTTGAAATCCAACTAGCTCTCTCCTCTTTTGGTGGTAGTGGAGATCCAATAAAGCCCCTCCCGGAAGCCAGGTAAGTGTTCTACCACTGAGCTACAAGGTCTAAGTTGAGACAAGGTCTAAATTTCCCAGGCTGGCCTTGAACTCATTCTGCTGCCTAGGCAGGCCTTGAACTTTTGATATTCTTGTCTCAGCTTCCTGAGAAGCTGGAATTGGAGGCTTTTGATATATTAAAAAAGAATTTATTTTCTACGTCTGAGTGCTTTGCCTGCCTGCCTGCATGCATGTGTACCAACGTGATGAAGACCATGGAGACCAGAAGAAGGCGGCACTGAAGTCGGATTCCTTGGAACTGGAGTTGAGGATGGTTGTTAGCCACTGTGTAGGTGTCAGGAACTGAACCTAAATTGTAGGGCTCTTATAACTGCTAAGCTATTTTTCCCACCCAGTCTATTTTAATGGTACATTCTCTTAAAAATGACAGAGAATGCTAAGCATTTTGATGTATGCCTTTAATCCCAGCACTTGGGAGGCAGAGGCAGAGGCAGGCAGATCTCTGAGTTTGAGGCCAGGCTGATGTACACAGCAAGTTCCAGGCCAGCTAGGGCTACAGAGCTCAAAAAAAGACACAAAACATTTAGGGGAGATACATGGTAAGTGCAGATTTCCCTCAAATTTTTACCCAATTTTTAATCATAATAAATTAGCAACAAAGTTTTATGACAACTTAGAAGAGCCACATAAATCAAATGTCTCACCAAAAAAAGGATAGGAGATAGATACGTTAGTTAGCGTGTTAATCATGTCACATTGTAGACATTTATCAAAATACCACACTGTATCCTATAAATGTATACAATTATGATTTGCCAATCAAAAACCTTAATAATAGGGCTAGAGAGATGGCTCAGCGGTTGAGAGCACTGACTGCTCTTGCAGAGGACTGGGATTCAATTCTCAGCACCCACATGGTGGCTACAAACCGTCCTTAACTCCAGTTCCAAGGAAATCCGAATCTCTCTTCTGACCTCTGCGGCATTGCACGACATGGGTGCGCTTACATACATGCAGGCAATACACTCATACACATAAATTAAAAAAAAAAATCTTAATAATAAAATAATGTAGGAATTCAAGTTAGCACATTAAAAATGCAAAAACAAAATAAAGGGAAATTGGGAAGTAGGGATTTAATATGCTCCATGGTTAGGTGCTTATCTTGTCTTACATAAAACAAGTATCTTATAGCAAGTAAAAGACAGAGAATGTGAAACTTTGGGTACCTATTTGTATAAAGTGACTTTCCTGTTGAGAATGGTCTTTTGATACTAGATTAAGACTTTTCAAAGTTACACACAGCAAATCAAAACTACTATGGAACAGAATAAAAATATTACAAAAGCAGCTGGGTGTGGTGGCACATGCCTTTAGTTCCAGCACTCAGGAAGCAGAGGCAGGTGAATCTCTGTGAGGTCAAGGCCAGCCTGGTCTACATAGTGAGCTCCAGGCCAGCTGGGGCTACAGGTAGACCCTGTTTCAAAAAGACCAGAGGCAAGGGATCTCTGTTGAATTTGAGGTTATCTTGGTCTCTGTAGAGAGTTCTAGGCTAGTCAGGAGTACGTAGTGAATTTCTGTCAGAAAACAAAAAAAATGACACTCCCTGAATTCAACCCATAAGTCAGACCTAGTGGCATACACTCAGAAAGTGTAGACAAGAGGATCAGGAGTTCAAGGACATTCTGAGCTGCATAGTGAATTCAAGGCTAGCCTGGGCTACTTGAGCCTTTGTCTCAAAACATCATAAAGAATATTCAACCTATTCATAAATGGAAGAAGTGGCCTTGAATGAATGGAGGTGAACAGGAGCTTTGCTGAATTGGAGAACACAAGACACACAGTAGCAGTTCAGATCTGTTTCTTCCAACAGCAACTATCCACCCCATGACTGATCCCGCCAGGCACTGTACACAGAGATGCTGCCCATTTGTGTAGAAACTCGACTATATAGGGCAAGCTTTTTTTTTTTTCAGTTTGAGACAGGGTCTGTCTGTAAGCCCCAACTGACTGGAACTCACTATGTAGATTAGTCTGGCCTGGAACTCACAGAGATCCACCTGCCTCTGCCTCCTAAGTGCTGGGATTAAAGGCCTGTGCCACCACGCCTGGCAAGACAAGCATTTATTTATTTTTTAAAACTTAAAAAAAAATATATTTATTATTTTTATTTTATGTGTGTGTATTGCCTGCATGTAGGTAAGTGCACCCGTGTTGTGCAATGCCCGCGGAGGTCAGAAGAGGCTGTTGGATCCCCTGGGACTGGAGTTATGGACAACTGTTAGCTGCCATGTGGGTGCTGGGATTCGAACCCGGGTCTTCTGCAAGAACAGCCAGTGTTCTTAACCACTGAGCCATCTCTCTAGCCCTGCAAGCTTTTTTTTAAAAAAAAAATATTTTAGGGACTAGAGAGATGGCTCAGCAGTTAAGAGTTCTGCCTGTTCCTCCAGAAGTTCCAGGTTTGATTTCCAGCACCCACATGGCAGCTAACAACCATCTGTAACTCCAGTTCCTCTGATGCCTTCTTCTGACCTCCTCAGGCACTGCATGACATGGGTGCACTTACATAAACGCACGAAATAATTTTATGTGTATGAGTGTATTGCTTCCATGTATGTAAATGCACTTGTGTAGTGCAATGCCTGTGGAGGTCAGAAGAGGGAAGAGGGTGTTGGATTTCCTTGGAACTAGAGATAAAGATGGTTGTTAGCTGCCATGTGTGTGCTGGGAACTGAACCCGGGGGTCCTCTGCAAGAACAGTCCATGTTATTTGTTTGTTTGTTTGTTTGTTTATTTATTTATTTATTGGTCTTTTTTGAGACAAAAAGCCCGAGCTGTCCTGGAACTCACTATGTAGACCAGGCTGGCCTTGAACTCACAGAGATCTGCCTGCCTCTGCCTCCCAAGTGCTGAGACTACAGGCATGTTGCCACCATACCCAGCCGTGCTTTTTATTTTTAAAAATATTTTATTATTTTTATTTTATGTGTGTGTACTGCCTGCATGTAGGTAAGTGCACCCATGTCATGCAGTGCCCACGGGGGACAGAAGAGGCTGTCAGATCCCTTGGAACTAGAGTTACAGACAGTTGTTAGCTACCATGTGGGTGCTAGGATTCAAACCTGGGTCTTCTGCAAGAACAGTCAGTGTTCTTAACCACTAAGCCATCTCTCCAGCCCCAAACAGTCAGTGCTCTTAACCACTGAGCCATCAGTCCAGCACCAGGGCAAGCTTTTCAAAGCCAATATAAAATCAGATCATATAGCATTAGCTGACACACTATGGATTTCAGATGGCAAAGCTTTCAAAAATGTCACTTACCTATGATAGCTGCTTTACAAACTGCTGTCATTAAAGCTCTAAGGAATGTAGGCGAACTCATCTGGCTTTCATCTAGATTAGCCTAGAGTGGAAAATTAAAAAGAAAGAATAGTTAAAGGCAGCTTACATGTTTTGTGTGAAAATGCTCTAAGAGGTTCTTAGCATTTAGGGACCATCTCTGCATTCTATGCTCACTTGATGACTCACAGAGCAGGGGTACTCCGTGCATTTGGAAGTGTAGCCATTTAGCAAATACCCACATAAGGAGCTCTACCCAAGTCTGCACACTTAAAAGCGACTGTACCAGGACTGCAGTGTCCCCTGGACTATGTTCTCAGCACTGTGTAGCTGTGTATGTGTGCCAGTGTGCTGTGCCAACCATGCTGCTTCATTTTAATTCACAGTAAACTAGAGGCCAGCCTCTAGCACCGCATTAAACAAAACCCCCTTAAGTTGTGAGAAAGGGCTCCTCATTTCTAAGGATGGCAACAAAGAATGCACTTAGAGAAGCCAAGTTAAGTAAAATGACCCTAAGTTTAATTTTACTGTAGTCACCTTGCTGCTATCAGACACAAAGCAGATGTGCAGCTGCAGAAAGAGACAGAAAACGACATTCTCTCTCTCTCTCTCTCTCTCTCTCTCTCTCTCTCTCTCTCTCTCTCTCTCGTTTCTGAGATATAGCCTTACTATGTAGCCCTGGCTGGCCTGAACTTTCTATATAGACTAGGCTCATACAAATTGGCCTGCCTCTGCCTCTCAAGTGCTGGGATTAAAGGTGTGTACCAACACACACAAGTACATTCATGTTCCTAAGACTAGAACAGAATTGACACTTGGTTCATCTTTCAATAGCAGCCCATGGAAAGGGTCAGTTTTTATATAATGTCTGGCTAGGAAAAACTGAACATGTCATTATAAACTCCCTTGTGTTAGAAGCTTATTAGTTCAAAGCTGTAGATAACCTTAGTGTTTATCAATTTTAGAAGTGAGGCAGACTAACAGGTAGCTCTCTTCGTTACCTGCCATCAGTTATCACTGGAGACAAACTCCTGTGATGGGGTTTCAAGGAGCGGAGTCAGATGACCATCTCTGCTGGATACCAGCACAGTGGCCAGGGAAGGCTGTTCCAGCCAGAGCCTTCCAGACCAGGCCGAACATAGAACAGAAGCTGTGTAGCCACTGCCAACGGCTGGGGGAGGGAGCTGTGGGGGAGGGGTAGATGCCAAGTGCTTTGCTGGGAAGAGGTCCTGAGCACTGGTGGTGTAAGCCAGCTGCTGGCTTATACCTCTTTAAAGATAATTTATCTGGGTTGAAGCTGCAAAGAGTTACTTTTGAGAAGTTACAAGAATTTTTTTTTTTTCTTTTTTTGGTCTTTTTTTGAGACAGGGTCTCCATGTAGCCCCAGCTGGCCTGGATTGGCTATGGAGACGAGGCTGGCCTTGAACTCACAGAGATCCACCTGCCTCGGTCTCCCGAGTGCTGGGATCAAAGGCTTGTGCCATCATGCCCAGCCATTTTTGATAAACAAATACTAATACTTTTTTGCTCAACAATATTCAAAAAACAGGTTGACAGGGCAATTTGAGTGCTGAGCAATACTTCAACTCCACAGAGGGTTGTATTTCAAGGAGTCTGAGCAAAATAAACAAATTAGGGAATGCAATTAGATAAGGCCACTTCCAAACCACTGGCTGCTCCTTCTGCTACAAAGAAACAAACTGTGGCTTTCTTCCACCAGATCAGGCCAACTGTTCTAATTTTAGTGCCCAACAGTAGAAAAGACTTGAAAAGCGCCAAGAAAACTACAGGTTAAGCAAACAGGTTAACAACAAAGAACAGGGAAGGAAGATGGGCCTACTAACTGCGTTGACAGTCAGATTCCCAGAACTCCAGCCTGGACTGAGCCACAGGCATCTGCAGTTGTGAGCTCAAGAACACTGAGCTTCCTCTTTTTACTCTCTTGCTTTTAAAAAAAGTTACCTTTTTAGCCGGGCGTGGTGATGCATGCCTTTAATCCTGGCACTCGGGAGGCAGAGGCAGGTGGATCTCTGTGAGTTCGAGGCCAGCCTGGTCTACACAGTGAGTTCCAGGCCAGCTGGGGCTACAGGGAGACCTTGTCTGAAAGAGACCAAAAAAAAAAGTTACCTTTTAGAATTTATATTTGGTAAAATTCCCCCTCCCCTTCTGTTTTTTGAGGCAGGGTCTCCCTTTAGTCCTAGCTGGCCTGGAACTCACTATGTAGCCCAGAGTGGCCTTGATCTCAAGAGATCCCTGTGCCTCTGCCTTTTGGGGGATGAAAGGTATGGGCCACCACGCTCAGCATTCTCTTTTTTTGAGACAGTGTCTCACTATATGTAGTCTGACTGGTCTAGAACGCACTATATAGACCAGGTTGGCCTCAAGCTCAGAGATCTGTTGCCTCCGTCTCTGGAGTGCTGGGATTAAGGTTGCATGCAGCACCACTCCAGGCTCTTTCATTTGTGTGTGTGTACGTGTAGAAGGAGTCAGTTCTCTACTTACACCATGTGAGTTCCTGGGATCAGACAAAGGCTATATGGCTTCCTGGCAAGTGCCTTTACCTGCTGAACTACCCCTCCTTCTGAGAACTGTTGATATAGACTATATAAAACAAACACTGGTATGGAAAACAAAGCCTGAAGTGGATGAAAGGGTAAAAATATCATTTTTTAATACACAGAAAAATGAAAGTTCAAACAATTGAAATGTAGGTTATAGATGAAAAATTGTGACAGGGATGAGGCTTAACATTAATAGTGGCCTGACTTCTGAAACAAGAGAGAAGGCCTGTGACTCTGGTACGTGTAAGTGCACGCACCAGAAAGTCTTAAGGCTGACTCTACTTTGAGCTCAAGAATAAACTGTGTTGGAGGTATAGTGGTTAGCAGAGGTATCTTCCAAGAATTAATTCTCACATGAAAGGCTTAAAAGTTTTATGAAAGAGATGGTTATGCTAAAAGGTAAAATTCAGAAATATTTATTTATATGTGTGCATGTGTATGCGTGTGTATGTGTATGCATGCATGGAGCTGCGTAAGTTTTCATGTATACCACATGCATGCAGGGAGCCTGTGGAAGCCAGAAGTGTGGGAGCCTCTGGAGCTGAAATTGCAGATGGTTGTGAGCAACATGTGGGCTCTGGGAACTGAACCCAGGTCCTCTGCAAGAACACAAGTGATCTTAACTGCTGAGCTATCTCTCCAGTCCCCTATCTCAGACAGACACAGACATAATTTCTCTGAATTTGAGCAAGCCATTTCAACAACTATCCAATGATAGATATTCCCTTGGGGCTTAGATATAAAAGAGAATTAGAAAGCAGAGCTAAGGCCATGAACTAGTAAGAGGCTAAAGGCAGCCGTTTCCCAGGGATGGCTGCGGGTACAGTCCCTGACAGTATGTGGCCAACTCACTGAGGCACTTTCCTCAGAACACAGATAAGGACAAAGCTGGAAGATGAATGAAATTAGAGGATGATGCTAAGCAGAAAATGACCAGCAGATTCCATGATTAAGTCAGAATCCAGAATGGAATCTTCTTTATGAAGGCAAACATAAACCAAAATACATTTTCAAAATCTCTGTTTGGTTGAAAATACATGAACATTCAGGATGGGAGACAAATGGCTAAATGGCAAATTATAAAAGAATTAATTCTGCATGTCTGAAAACCAATTTGAGTTCAGTGTAGAGAGGCTTCCAGAGCACAGAGCCTCAGATGAAAATGCAAGATAGTACCCATTGCGGTGGTACATGCCTGTTATTCCAGCACTTGGAGGTTGGGGCAGGGGGATCAGGACTTCAAGGTGATCCTCAGCTACATAGGGATTTGGAGGCTACCTTGGGCAACACAAGAACCTGTCTTGAAAAAATAGTGAGTTCCAAGTCAGGTAGGGCTACAGGGAGACTCTGTTTCAAAAAAAGACCAAAAACCCCCCTTCACAAAACTATGTATATGCCACAAGTTGACACAGCACAAGCTGCTTTGAAAGGGATGTTAAAAACCCAGGCTGGGCTGGAGAGTTCACTCAGCAGTTAACAGCACTTGCTGTTCTTCTAGAGGACCTGGGTTTTGTTCCCAACACCCACATGGTGGCTAATAACCATCCTTAACTCCAGCTTAACTCCAGGGATCTGATGCTTGCTTCTGGCCTTGGCAGACACCAGGCACGCACATGATACACTTACATACATGTAGGCAAAACACTCATACACATAAAATAAAAATAAATCAAAACAAAACAAAAAACCCAGGCTATTTTTGGTAATAGTAACTTCATAAAATCTTTTAAAATTTATTTTTTATTGTATATAAGTATATAAGTGCACCCATGTTCTGCAAAGCAAAGCCCATAGAGTCAGAAAAGGGCATCAGATCCCTTGGAATTGGCATTATGGATGGTTGTTAGCTGCTATATGAGTGCTGGGATTGAACCCAGGTCATCTGTAAGAAAAGCCAGTGCTTGAACTACTAAGCCATCTCTCCAGCCCCAGTAGCAACATAATAAGGATCTGGATATAGCCAGGCAGGGTGGGGCATGGCTTCAATCCCAGCACTCAGGAGGAAGAAGCAGGCTGATCTTTTTGAGTTCCAGGCCATCCTGGTCTATATAATGAGTGCCAGGTGAGGTGGAGCTACAGGGAGACTCTGTCTCAAAAAAAAAAAAAAAAAAAAAAAAAAAAAAAAAAAAAAATCTGGATATAAAGACTTCAAGAAAAGATTACCCTGTACAGACATGGCACAAAATAGGCGTCCCGCCCCCCAAAGTCATCAGGGTACAAAAAGGTTTGTAAAAGATAGTCTAAGTTCTATTCAACTTTGAAATCCCATGAAAAGGATGCATGAATTAAACACACAACACATGTCTTTACTATCTAGAGGAATATAATACCAACAGTTTAAAAACAGACACAAACAACACAGGCTCTACAACCCAAGATATAAGGATAATATGTAAGTCATTAACCTGAAAATGTAAGCCAATATATTTCACAGTGATTGCACACTGCTTGTTAGTTTTATTTAGTGCTTGAATGATAAATTACAGAGTATATTCCAAAATAATGAAGGACCAAGAAAAACGGGTCTCTGTTCTGACTGTAATTTTTTTTTTTTGGTCTTTTTGAGACAGGGTCTCCCTGTAGCCCCAGGTGTCCTGGAACTCACTATGTAGACCAGGCTGGCCTTGAACTCACAGAGATCCACCTGCCTCTGCCTCCCAAGTGCTGGGATTAAAGGCTTGTGCCACCACGCCCAGCTTTTTTTGTCTTTTTGAAGCAGGGTCTCCCTGTAGCCTGAGCTGTCCTGGAACTCATTATGTAGACCAGGCTGGCCTTGAACTCACAGAGATCCGCCTGCCTCTGCCTCCCAAGTGCTGGGAGTACAGGCATGTGCCACCACGCCCGGCTTCTGACTGTAATTATTTTAGGAAGAATTTACTTTTACTTCATGTGTATGAGTGTGCAGGGACTGTGGAGGCGAGAAGCCGGGATTGGATTTCCTGGAACTGGAGTTAAAGACTGTTGTGAGCAGCTACATGGGAGTTGGGAACAGAAGCTGTGCCTGTAAGAAGAGCAGCAAGTGTTCCTAACCCCCAAGCCATCTCTATAGCTGCCCGAATATATTTTTACTTGACTTAAAAAAAAGTCTGAAATCATAAAAACTGGAAAAGTCTTTGAGTTTCATCTGCACTATATACACCAAGGCATAAAAGCTGTAATGCCACAAGTGCTCCTGGAGTGGAAGGACTGCAGGTGAATTGTGAGGACCCCGAGACACTCTCCTGCAGGGACAGGAGAGGGGGATGGCTCTGTACCTCTACCCAGTCAAAGATCCGTTCATCATCTGCTTTGTCCTCCATGATGAGTTTCTCGAGCCGCTGATACAGCTCTTCAGCAGAGAGCTCCTTCTTTGAAAGTGCTTCAGAGGAACAGGAACTTTCAGACTCTATAAAGTCTAATTTCTGGAACAAGACATGAAACATATGAACATTGTCCACTGTAACTACTGTGCTGAAAGGAAAGCCAAGCCATGGCTGTACCTGCTACTCTGCACCAGGTCCATGGTCCAAGTGAACAGCAAGCTATCTTACAGCTATATGTGCCAAAAACGCCACTCCAGGAGCATTTTGACTATTTTCCAATTTTTTTGGGGCGGGGGGCGCTTTTTGAAACAGGGAAGTACCAGAGCCCCAGCTGGCCTGGAACTCACTATGAAGACCAGGCTGGCCTGGAACTCACTATGAAGACCAGGCTGGCCTGGAACTCACAGAAATCAGCCTGCCTCTGCCTCCCAATTGCTGGGACTATAGGCGTACACTACCATGCCTGGCCTATTTTCCAATCTTATTACAATGTAATATTATTCTATGTGTGTATGATATATGTGTGTGGGTAGGAGGCACATGTGGAGGTGAAAGGACAACCTGGTGGAGTCAGTTCTTTCCTTCTACCTTTACATGGGTTCTGGGGCGTGAACTCAGGTCACTAGGCTTGTACAGCAAGCATCGCTGCCTACTAATCCATCTTGTCAGCCTAATTTTCCTACTTTTAGTGTATCTTTAATTCTCCATTAAAAAAAACTCCAAAAATCTCACTTCAGTTCTCTCTCTGCCCTGCTAATCTCTTGATCATTTTGATCTGTTACCTTACAGTGAGTTATGGTTCAGCTCTCATGTAGAGCCTGGCTTACATAGTTTTATTACATAAAAACCATAAAGAATAACACTAAAACTAAAAAACAAGTACATAGCTTTCCTTTGAAGACTTTGGTACTGATTAAAAAGTAAAAACCACTCAATTATTATTATTTTTTTTTTTCTTTTTGAGACAGGATCTCCCTGTAGTCCCAGCTGACCTGAACTCACTATGTAGACCAGGCTGGCCTTGAACTCACAAAGATCCACCTGCCTCTGCCTCCCAAGTGCTGGGATTAAAGGTGTGGGCCACCATGCCCGGCTTGGATTTGTCTTTTAATACATATAGGTAGCAAAAGGAAATACAAACCCAAGCAATGAGGCTAGCTTTCCTATTTTCCATATAGTTAATTCTACCACAAAGTTTTGTTTCACGATGTGGCTTTGCATCACTGCCGAGTGTCAGTTAGCCTGAAGGATTCTGCAGCACTTCCTTTTTTTTTTTTAAAATATCTTATTATTTTTACGTTATGTGTATGAGTGTATTGCCTGCATGTATGTGAGTGGACCCGTGTCATGCAATGCCTCAGAGGTCAGAAGAGGGCTTTGGATTCCCCTGGAACTAGAGTTAAGGATGGTTTGTAGCCACCATGTGGGTGCTGGGATTTGAACCCAGGTCCTCTGCAAGAACAGTCAGTGCTCTTAACCCCTGAGCTATCTCTCCAGCCCCACTGCGGCACTTCTTAAAGGCTAGGTCTACTGGCAATGAACTTTTTTATTTTTCGAGGAATTTCATAAATGGATACTGTCAGAAGGAATTGATACTCACCTGCTCCGACAGAAAATTATGTACATCTTCCCCTTCTGGTAAAAAGTCCTTCCAGCTGAGATCAGCCTCCCTCCATAAGGCCCCCACTTTCTTATGGCTCTAAAATAGATATAAATCCAATCCATTAGCTTTCATTTGCATTAAGCAAAAAGGTTTACTTGAGGTAAAAAAAAGTAGAAATCCAAAGATAAAAAAAAAAGAAGAAAAATCAGTTTTGTTTCTTAGAGACAGGACACCAATCTCAGGACTATTTTCTTTCAAACTGACATGTCTGAATGCATATCAATATAATGCTGGGTCTGTATGGTGGCCATGTCTTTAATCCCAGCACTCAGAAGGCTGAGGCAGGAGACCACCTTAGTTCAAGGCCAGGTTGGACTACATAATGAGTTCCAAGACATCCTGGGCTACAGAGTTAGACCTGGGTCTCCAAACCCTAAAACAATAATTACATAAAATGGTAAATGATGATGAATGGCTCATTCACTGGAGGCCTATCTGGAATCAGCAAGCCTGACATCTGGGACTTATTAATATAATCACTAAAGGCTAAAATCATGTCACATTTACAAATTCAACATTGTCCGTCCCTCCCCTCCAGAAGCTCTGCAGACACACCTCATAAAGCCACACACAAACCTCCCTGGGATCTCACTTCAGAGGCCTTATTTCTACTTATGTAAGACAGCTTCAGGTACCTATTGCTCCTGATTCACACATGGGAAGCACTTCAAGGTCAAAAAGCACAAGGTGGAGCCCAAGGAACAGCAGAGTCAGCTGGAGACACATTAGGCCTCAATAAAGACAAAAAGGTAATGGAGATGCCAGGCTGTGAGGACGTATGTTACATCACGAACCTGACCAAGGCCCACCTGACAGCCTGGTGGAACAAGGCTTAAAAAGGCACTGACTAGCTCAGAGCTGCCTGACATTCAGAACAGTTGGCTTTAGCTGAGCACACTGTGATACAGGCCTGTGACCCCAGCAGCTGGGAGGCTGAGGCAGGAGGGCTGACACAAATTCAAGTCCAGCCTGGGCTGTGTAGTGAGACTGTATAAAAATCATTATAAAATTAAAAACAAGCCAGGCATGGTGGCGCATGCCTTTAGTTCCAGCACTCTGGAGGCAGAGGCAGAGGCAGGCGGATCCCTGTGAGTTCAAGGCCAGCCTGGTCTACATAGTGAGTTCCAGGACAGCTGGCACTACAGGGAGACCCTGTCTCAAAAAGACCAAAAAAAAAAAAAAAAAAAAAAAAAAAAAAAAAAAAAAAAAAAAAAAAAACAAACACAACCCCAGAAACTTTTGGGTTTATTTAGAATATTTAGAAGTAGGAACTTGATTTCTGTTTCTGACAATAAAAGTTTATAATTTCTCCCAGCACTTAGGAGTCAGAGACAGACAGATCTTTGTGAGTTCAAGGCCAGCTTGGTCTACATAGTGAGTTCAGGTCAGCTGGGGCTATAGGAAGATCATGTCTCCAAAAAAAAAAAAAGGACCAAAAAAGTATGGCCCAGGGACTGGAGAGATGGCTCATCAGTTAAGTATGGCCCAGGGACTGGAGAGATGGCTCATCAGTTAAGAGCATTGGCTGCTCTTCACAGGACCCACGGCGGCTACAAACCGTCCAAAACTCCAATGCCCTCTTCTCACTTCTGCAGGCACCGCATGACACGGGTACACTTAAAACACACATGCAGGCAATACACTCATACACATAAAGTAAAAATAAAAAAAATAAAACATTAAAAAAGTACGGCTCAGTAAACATTTTAGTGCCATTAAGGAAAGAGAATTACTACAAAATAGGATGTCAACAGAACCAGGCTGTCCAGGAACAGCTATTTCAAATTCGACACAGGACTTCTGCAGGGTCAAGTGAGAAATGAAGCTCTGGTTTAAAAAAACTAAAACTAAATGTCTATAAAATCTGCCATCTACCATCCCAGTATCTTCAGCTCCAGGCTGAGCACACCTGGATTCGTTCTAGGATCTTCAGAAGTGAGTTCCACATTGCTCTGACATCCTTCTTCCCAAACAACTCATCCCTCTGTGAAGAAGTGCTTTCACTAGCTCTTGGGATGAGCAGCTCACACCTGCATGTCCCCTCCTGATTAAACACTCTCTTAAGGCTGAGTCATCTCTGTAGCAGAGATGTACCTGAGCTGAAGGTCTTTGTCATCCCTCAGCTTCCTTTGTACCGCACATTTCTAACTGGACTAGATTAGCAACCCATGAGTCAAAAGTAACAAAATTAAGCTGGGCGTGGTGGCACACACTTTTAATCCCAGCACTTGGGAGGCAGAGGCAGGTCATATCTTTGTGAGTCAAAAAGACAAAAAAAAAGAAAAATTAACCATTTTATGAATTCTCTCCTACTCTTGAGGTTTTTAATGAAACCTACTTAAAAGTAAGATAACTATTTTTGGTCTTTTTGAGACAGGGTCTCTCTCCCTGTAGCCCCAGCTGTCATGGAACTAGCTTTGTAGATCAGGCTGGCTTCAAACTCAAAATGATCCACCTCCCTCTGCTTCCCAAGTGCTGGGATTACAGGCATGTACCACCACTCCCGGCACCATTTTGTTTTAAGAAAAGATAAAATTATCATTCACAAAATAAAACTTGTTTTGAGATTCTTTAGAATTACAGCAATCAATTCCAGTTGAGATTAGGCAAATCTCCCCAAGATCCTGGTAACCATAAAGACAAATCCACCTCAGGCAGAAATGAGGTGAAATAGAGACTTCACTCTTCTTTCCAAGGTAAGAAATAGAATTACTTGCACATTGAGACTGTTCTAGACTCTTCATAGAAAACCCAAGATCAAGACCACTGCCCTCCCTAACGTGCTGGATGGAGTCTGAAGCTCAGTTGAATACTCACCATTTGTTTGCATAGAAGGTGCAATATTTCAGAAAGCAAGACCCCAGCTCTTCCAACAGGAAGCAAAGGTTTGCTAAATTCTCTGTAAAAGACAGGAGCAGTGATTAAGTACTTCCAAACAAATTCTCTGTTCCAGAGCAGCAAATGAAGCTTACCAAACAGATAACACCAAATGTAGGTATAACCTTGGGTGAGCTCCGGGACATGGTTAGAGTCCTTTTAAGCAAGAGGAGCTCAGAGACTTACAAGTGTTCACCCAGGCTTTGTGGCTCAGCAGTTAAGAGCACTGACTGCTCTTGCAGAGGACCCAGGTTTGATTCCCAGCACCCACATGGCGGCTGCAAACCGTCCTTAACTCTAGTTCCAGGGGAATCCGAAGCCCTCTTCTGACTGCCACAGCACTGCGTGACACAGGTGCACTCACTTACATGCAGATAATACACTCACACACATAAAATAAAAATAATTTAAAAAATGATTTTAAAAAAAGGGGGGGGACTTCAGAGTTCCTGCATCTTTTTCTTTTAACAACTTAAGTGATAGAAGCAACATGAAACAAAACTCCTACTTAGTAGCCTCCTTATTTACCCAAGTTCAGTTTCAAGTCAGAGGAAGAGGAGCTTACTAAAGGCTTAGTTCTAAGTGTGTTTTAGAAGAAAGCTTTCCTTCAGAATAGCAATGAAACAGAAAAGATCATTTTGTCATAGTCTAAACCAGTACTTCCTAAACTATGTTCTACAGGGCTAATACAGTATTTCTCAAAAAAAAAGGGGGGGGGGTCCTACCATGAAAACATGAAGAATTAAACTGTTTCTCTTGCTGTTTTTCCACAGGAGTCTCATGATTCCCAATGTGACATACACACTGTGAATCTCTAAGAAGAGGGTCCCAACCATTTGCAGAGTTTGACTACATGAGCAGTTATGAGGAAACAGTAGTGTTTTGAAGATGAGAAGTACTAGTGTGCAGTGTAGCACCAATACCACCCCTATATCTAGAGACACTTTCTTATTTTTTATTTTTTAAAATATTTTATTGGGGCTGGAGAGATGGCTCAGAGGTTAAGAGCACTGACTGCTATTCCAGAAGACCCAGGTTCAAATCCCAGCACCCATATGACGGGTAACAATTGTCCATAACTATAGTTCTAGGGGATCTGACTCCCTCTTCTGTCCTCTACCAGCATTGCATGACATGGGTATACTTGCATACATACACACAATATACCTAAAATAAAAATTAAAAAAAAAAAATTTAAATATTTTATTTATTTTTATTTTTTATGTGTATGTGTGTATTGCCTGCATGTAGGTAAGTGCACCCATGTCGTGCAGTGCCCACAGAGGACAGAAGAGGCTGTCAGATCCCCTTGAACTCGAGTTACAGTTATTAGCTGCCATGTGGGTGCTGGGAATTGAACCCGGGTCTTCTGCAAGAACTGTCAGTGTTCTTAAATCCCTGAGCCATCTCTCTAGCCCCTAGGGACACTTTCATTATAGCCATGAGCCTCTAATATCCAGATGTCACAGTCTGACAAGCAGTGCTAGAACTGTAATGTACTGGTGCATCAAAGCAACCCATGGCAAGCTTCTAGAGATAATCCTCTTCCAGGGCTGTGATTTGGAAGCCACGTCTACAGTGAGTGCTACCGTCAATGGGGCCACAGGGCTTTAGTACCCCCAGCATAGCTCCAGGGTAGAGCAGGTAGACCCAAACATCACCCCCTTGAAATTAGAAGCTACAGGAGTCATGGGCTGCATCTGAATCTCCAGAGGTGCCGTGGTGGGGCTGCACTATGCTACAGAGCAGCTGGTGAGTTGTGTCAGTTTATCTTGATATACATTAAAAGGAGCAAATATAACTCACATGATAAGTTCTCTCATGGAGATTCCACCTTCTTTCAACATGGGGGTGACGAGTTCAGCGAGGTACAGCCAAATATGAGGAATATCAATGGCCATATCATCTGCTAATTCCAAGGTTTCAGAAAAACTGGAAAAGAACAGGAAAAAAATTCAGTGCAATATGATTTACAAGGTAAAATTAAAGACCACAATCAGAACCTCAGCAAATGCAAGCTAAGCACTTTCTATGCTCGACTCTGGTCCAGCCACAGAGTAACTGGCATGCAAGTTAGCAGACTCAAAGCTTATACTGGTGTGGGAGAGACAAAGAACTGGAGACAGATGTACACCTGAAGAAAGGGCTGCATTCTGAAAAGCATTAATGATGGTGCCAGAGAGAAGTCAGGAAAGATCAATAATCAAAGGCTTTCACAAAGTTTGAGTAAAAGCTATCATAAAACCACAAACTAAATATACATTGTAACGTAATGTAAATTTTTTTGTTATTTTTCCTTTTTTAATGTAATGTGAAAGGTGTGATAGTGCTAATATTGTATCATACGTTACTTCTTCTTCTTTTTTTTTTTTTTTTTTTTTTGAAACAGGGTTTTTCAATAGCCCCAGCTGGCCTGGAAGTCACTATGTAGACCAGGCTGGCCTTGAACTCACAGTGGATCTCCCTGCCTCTGCCTCCCGAGTGCTAGGATTAAAGGCATGTAAGATACTTCTTAACGTGAAGAAAAATAAATGGTAATTAAATATAAAACTTTGGACAGTAGCAGGCACAAGGACACACACCTGTATTCAACATCACAGATGACACTGTCTCAGGGAGAATGGAAAATCAAAACAACTTGAAGAAAAAACTGGGGGCAGTCAAGATACAAAATACTGGCACAGCCGGGCATGGTGGTGCACACCTTTAATCCTAGCACTTGGGAGGCAGAGGCAGGCAGATCCACTGTGAGTTCAAGGCCAGCCTGGTCTACATAGTGAGTTCCAGGACAGCTTTGACTACAGGGAGACCCTGTCTCAAAAAGACAAAAAAAAAAAAAAAAAAAAAAAAAAAAAAAAAAACTAGCACAGTTGCATTTGGGCTGAAAAATCACAGCCATTGATTTAGTAGTGTAAATAATTCAAGACTTTGTTGTTTTCACATAAAGCATATTTAAAAAGTAAAACAGAACAGAGGCAAGAGAAATAGATCTCCAAGTCATAGGAAAAGGACAAAGGAACAAAGGGCTAGAAACAGGTAGTGCTTGTGTTCAGATCCTTTAAAAGTTCTAAACATGCCAGGCGTGGTGGTGCATGGCTTTAATCCCAGCACTTGGGAGGCAGAGGCAGGTGGATCTCTGAGAGTTCAAGGCCAGCCTGGTCTACATAGCAAGTTCCAGGACACCTGGGGCTACAGGGAGACCCTGTCTCAAAAAGACAAAAAATAAATAAATAAATAAAAAAGCTCTAAATATGTAAAATGTGTGCTTTTGCATGGCAATTCCATATTATAGTCAGAGTATTCCACTCAGGTCAGAGGCCAACATGCTATGAGAATTTCCATTTAAATGAGCTTTCGCTACAGGGCAGGGTTCCCCCCGAGCTACCATTTCAAAATACTCTGTAGCTCAACCACATTATTTAACTGTAGGTTTTGTGAATCCTGAATGTCAGCTTTCTGACCTCACAGACTGAATTATTCACCATCTACTTGCTGTCCAGCAGACCCTTGACAAGCCTGAGGGGACCTAATCTGGTGGAACTCCAGGATTTTGGGTTAATTCACTTGATTCTTTCAATTCATGTTCTGTGCACTATCAGCACAGATTAAGCTGTGCAATGTGTCCAAGAGACAACCGCAGCCACTCTGGTCGTTCAACAATACACCTGTTATATTCATCTCATCTTACAACTAAAAGATACCCGTATTCTTGGCTTGGGTTTCTACTTTGCGGTCAGCCAGATCATCATAGGGCAGTTTACAGAACATGGTTGGTGATTAAGTTCATACTGATAACTGTTAAAAAAAAAAAAAGAAAAGAGCTTTTTTGGCTGAACGTAGGGTTCCCATAGAACAAGTTCACAGATATTTTCAAAATCCTTTGAAAAGAAAAATCTTAGGTAGGACTTATTGGTTTAAGATAATATACAAAAAGGAAATCGGGAGCCCAGTGTGGTGGGGCACATTTTAAATCCCAGCACTTGGGAGGCTGAAATTGAGGGGAGTTTCAGGCCAGTGGGGAATAAAGGGAAACCCTGTCTCAAAAAAACAAAAGGAGAGATGGGTCAGCGGTTAAGAACACTGGTTGTTCTTGCAGAAGAACCGGGTTTGAATCCCAGCACCCACATGGCAGCTAACAACTGTCCGTAACTCCAGTTCCAGGGGATCAGATGGCCTCTTCTGTCCTCTCAGGCATTGCACAACACAGGTGCACTTACATACATGCAAGCAATACACTCATACACATAAAAATAATAAAATATTAAAAAAACACACACACACACACAAAAACAAAAAAACAAAAGCTATGTGTGTGGGGGGGGAATACGGAGCTGGAGAGATGGTTCAGCAGTTAAGAGCAATGGCTACTTTTGCAGTTTAGTTCCCAGTACTCATATGGAAGCTAACAATGGTCCATATCTCCAGTTCCAGGGGATCCAAACCCTTCTGGCATCCATAGGCATTGCATGCACAGGTACACTTACATACATGCAAAACACTCGTACACATAAAAGTAAATAAATTTTTAAAATATTTTATTTATTTTTATTTATGTGTATGAGTGTATTGCCTGCATGTATGTGAGTGCACCCATGTCATGCAATGCGTCAGAGGTCAGAAGAAGGCTTCGGATTCCTCTGGAACTGGAGTTAAGAAAGGTTCATAGCCACCATGTGGGCGCTGGGGATCGAACTCAGGTCCTCTGCAAGAGCAGTCAGTGCTCTTAACCTGCTGAGCCATCTCTCTAGCCCTGTAAATAAATTTAAAAAAAAAAAAAAGGAATTCTAGCAGCATCTTCCACACTATAAATTGGATTATTAAAATTTAAAACTAGCTAAAGAAGGAAGTGATTGTGAAGATATTTAAAGATTGGATTGGTCTAAATAAAAACAGGCATAACAGGGCTGGAGAGATGGCTCAGTGGTTAAGAACACTGACTGTTCTTGCAGAAAACCCAGGTTCAAATCCAAGAACCCACATGGCAGCTAACAACTGCCTGTAACTCCAGTTCAGGGGATCCAGCTGCCTCTTCTGTCCTCCACCGGCATTGTATGATGCTGGATGAAGATGAAATAGGCATGAAAAAGGTGCAAAGCTCCTTAGAGATGAGTGTCAATCTTATCTCTACAGGGTTGTGATTAAAGCAGAACTTGCCTTTATGAGCACACAGGAACTCAATCCTGCACTTGAACTTTTGCATGTCGACCTGAAGTCTTGAGCCAGATGGAATTGCCATAATTGGGAATAAGAGTTTTAGAGATGTGGTGGAAAAAGAGGCACAACCTGCCTCCAATGACCATTTCTCCACTAGTGAGCTGAGCATCCTTTAGGATGTATTTTGTAGCCACTGACTCCAGTTTCTGTTGCTTGGTTTTCATTTCTAACCTTTTCAAAGATAATTCCAAGTCTGTGATGAACAATGAACTATCTACCCTCAGCTTTCTCTACTACATAGTTCTTAAGAATTTTTCAATTCTTCCTAAAGAATTGGTAGAGCTCAGTAGCCTGCTTATCTAAGATGCACGAAGCCCTGGCATAAACTAGGTACGGTGACACAAACCTGTAATCTCAGCATTCCAGAGTTGGAAGCAAGAGGTTTAGAAGTTCAAGGTCATCTCTGGCTACACAGAAACTTTTGAGGCCAGCCTGGGCTACATGAGTACCTGTCTACAAATAATGTATAAATAAATAAAATTTAAAAACCATGATGAGTTGTGCAAAATGGATTTGTAATAGCCGGGTGTGGTGGCGCATGCCTTTAATCCCAGCACTTGGGAGGCAGAGGCAGGTGGATCTCTGTGAGTTGAAGGCCAGCCTGATCTACATAGTGAGTTCCAGGACAGCTGGGGCTAAAGGGAGACCTTGTCTCAAAAAAGATCAAAAAAAAAAAGGATTTGTAATAAACAATAATGTATCTACCTAGTTTGTGTCATAAGTATTTACAGTTAAGCGATGAAAATCTGAGAAGGATGGTATGAGATTGGTGAAGTACACCTTGGGTATTGACAGTGAGGGCGTTTCCAGATCACTGGATCATGAGCTGGATTCTAGTAAGTAAACCAAGTCCTACCACATACAGACAGAGAAATCTGTGGGCCGGGGACTTCCTGTTGATCTAGTGAAATGGCCTCTCTGCATAGTATGAACTATAAAATCAACTCAGCCTTTTCAAGAGATTGGGAGGTCGTGACCTATTACAAGGATTTAGGTGCATAACAAACTCAGGTTGTAAGGCTTGTGGCAAGCACCATGACCTGCTGAGCCATCTTGATGGCCCTTGAAACCACTTTGAAGTCTCCAGAGGGTACAACTCTGACTTTGGGGGTGCAGATGCCTTCAGTTGCTCCCACATTTTTTAGAGGAGAATCATGTAGTTTTGCTATGCTGCCAGTGGTCTCAATCCAAGAACTCAACTGTACCTCCTGCCTCACCCCTACAAGGGGCAGGGTTTGCAGGTGTGGGCCACCTTGCCTGGTTTTCCTTTTACTGTCGTTGCAGGCTGGTTACTGACTGCAGTGAAACACAAATTTCTCTCTCAAAATTGGTAAATCCTCCTGGCCTCAAAGGCAATAACCACAGCAAGTTTTGCCAGTGTTTCTTGATCGGTTAAGTGATTAAATAACTTTGAGTCCTTGAATTGTGATTTTTTAAAAAAAATATTTTATTATTTTTTTTTGTGTATGTGTGTATTGCCTGCATGTAGGTAAGTGCACCCATGTCATGCAATGCCTGCAGAGGACAGAAGAGGCCGTCAGAATCCCCTGGAACTGGAGTTACGGATAGTTGTTAGCTGCCATGTGGGTGCTGGGATTCAAACCCGGGTCTTCTGCAAGAACAGCCAGTGGGTTTTTTTTGTTGTTGTTCATCATCTCTACTATTTAACATGAAGTAAATTTTTATGCTTCCTCCTCAAATATGTCTTTGTTTTTAAATTTGTTGATTTTTGTGTGTATATCATACAGAACAACCCACACAATCTTATTCATCTATATACCCACTTCCCAAATGGCACCCTCCCATAGCCTCTCTCCTCCCACACACTGGAGCCCATATACTCTGTCATCCCTGTTACTGTTCACTGTGTTGTCGGCACCCCTAGCCATTCCCCAGTGCTTGTCTGTCTGCTGAATCTAGTCAGACTATCTAGAGATCCTTGTTTTAGAAAGATCAGCTGGAGAATAGTCAGTGTTCTAACCACTGAGCCCTCCAGCCCCAAATTGTGATTTCTTAATGAATAGAATGCACATATTTTAGGACCTCAAGGGAAATGTCATTATTCTTTGCAAAATCATGAGTGATTCCACCTGAGAAAATCCAACTGTGGTCTTTTGAGGTTTTTATTTATTTTTCTTTGACAGCAACTTACTATGTAGCTCAGGCTGACCTAGAGTCTGGACCCAATTGCTCAGATTACATGCATGTTCTACCATACTGGGCTAACTCCTATTTTCGGAGTTTGGCAGTAAGTGAAATGACACCAGAAGGCTACACAGAGGCATGCATTATTTAACTGATAAGAAGATGAGCTTGGAAAAAAAAAAAAAAGATTCATGAGGTGGGAAAATTACACAGTACAGAATTCTAACTCTATTCAAGAATCAATAGATATCCACGGCAGTATGCAATGGCAGGTTCAAGCGTGATGTGCAAACCTTGGGAGGTCTTAGCTCCTGTTCCCTTAAAGAGTGGGTATCTGTCAGTGATGGCTCTTGGTAGTTGGCATACAATTTAAGAACAGTAATCAAAATAAAATATTTCTATTTTATTTATTTATTTTTTAATTATGTGTCTATTTGGGGGGTATGTGCATATAAGTGGAAGCCAGAGGTGTTGGATCTCCCAAGAGCTGGAATTACAGGCAGTTGTGAGCCACCAATGTGGCTGCTGGAAACTGAACTCAGATCCTCTGGGAGAACAGTACATGCTCTCAACCTCTGAGCCATCTATCCCGTCCAAAACAAAATATAGTTTTTAAATATTTATTGCTTTTATTTTATGTGAATGAGTATACTGCCTGCATGTATATAAGTGCTCCTGTGTCATGCAATGCTAGCTGAGGTCAGAAGAGGGCATCAGATTCCCATGGAACTGGAGTTACAGAAGGTTGTTAGCCATCATGTCGGTGGTGGGAATCGAAACCGGGCCCTCTGCAAGAACAGCCAGCGTTCTTAACTGCTGAGCCAACTTTCCAGCTCAAAAAGGAATACTTTTATTATATGTAACTTTCACGTTAAAAGTTGATTTCAATGCTGGGCGTGGTGGCGCATGCCTTTAATCCCAGCCCTTGGGAGGCAGAGGCAGATGGATCTCTATGAGATCCAGGCCACCCTGTTCACATTGTGACTTCCAGGTGGGCTGTGACTAGAGAGGCCCTGTCAAAATACAATCAACAGAAAGACCAAACTCCCTGCCCTCCACCCCAATGATGATTTCAGAAATTCCTAAGAGGTAGAGATTCTGTGGCTAGGCTAGGTGTGTTGGCACATGTCTTTAATTTCAGCACTCAGGAGGCAGAGGCAGGCAGACCTTTATGAGTTCCAGGCCAGCTAGGGCTACAGAGGGACCCTGTCCTGCCTCAAAATAACCCCAAAGATTGTATGGAGTTCAGTACAGGAGAACCTGGCAACCCCAGTGACAATGAATCGTCATCCATCAGCTACACAGGAATCATCATGGAAGCAATGGAATCATCAGGCATGCGTGGATCCTCTGACAGGCTGGAGTGCTTGAGACAAGCATGGGCTGGCTAGACTAAGCATGCCTTATCAAACATAAGGCTTTAAGTAAAGGGTCCAGAATTGTCCTCAAAGAAAAGCACCGCCCCCCCCCCCCCGGCCCTACAGAAACTCAAGAAACTTGCAGGTTTGTGTGAAATGAGCTGGAGATGTTCTCAGAGACTGCCTGAGACTAAGGCCTTTTACAGTACAGAGGTCTGAGAAGAACAGAGAAAACCAGATGACCTTCATGTCCTGGCCCAGTCCACAAAATGTTTCATTAATCAATGTGCTGCCAATTACATTATACTAAAATACATAAGTGGACACAAATTTCATCTATGGAAAAGTCAATTAGTACCCATAAACTTAGAAACTGAATGATGTTTGAGGATACCAACCCTTTGAAAAAGTCCTGCTTGCTGAGTTTTTCTGACTGCACCAGCTGATATAGTAAGTGGCCCATGTGATCCCTGGTGATCTGGCTCCGCTCCAGGGTGAACTCCACTCCCACCTTCACGAAAATGTGCAGTGGGCCCTGGGCGCTCAGCTCTTCTATACACTGCATGGCTTCCTGTTCAAACAACAAAGAAAGGCTCACTCCAAAATCTGAGGTTAAGAGAACTGTAAATCTTTTATGTTAAAAGCACTACAAAGGTCCATTCTTTAACACAATAAAGTTCAGTAAAAGAGGTTATAAATATCTGAAAAAAAGGAAAAGGGAAGTGACGGAGGGAAAAGGCAGGAAAGGAAAACACCAAATCTGGTGTGGTAACACATGCACTGAATGAGAAGGTGAGAGGCCACCGTGGGCTACACAGAGAGCACAAGACCAGCCAGGGCTACAGGGTAAGAGTCTATCTCAACAAAAATAAAAGTTCAAATGTGGTGACACAAACCTGTGGTCCCAGCTGTGCTCAGCTCTTTGGAAGGCTGGAGGCAGGAGGATTCCGTGAATGCAGCTCAAAGCAAGGCTGGTGATATGGTAAGACTCCGGGGTGGGGAGCCGTGCCCTTCAGAGTGAACACCTTTGTTGACAGGGTTGTGTTCTTTTTAGATTTACTTATTTATGTTTATTTTATGTATATGTGTGTGTTTATTTTATGTATGTGTACCAGGTGCACTGAGGAACCCTCAAAGATCAGAATAAGCTGCCATGTGGGTGCTGGGAACCAAACCAGGGTCCTCTGCAAGAGTACCAAGTGTTCTTAATGGCTGAGCCATCTCTCCATCCCTAGGCAGAGCCAGGTGTGGTTGTGCATGCCTTTAATCCCAGAACTAGGGGTTGGGGGGAATATGAGTCTTTTGCCTCCAGGTGCCACCTACATGCAATGCCCTCAGAGGCCAGAAAGAGGCACAGGACCCCATGGAACTGGAGTTTTTAGTCACTATGAGGGTACTGGGAATTGAACCCAGGTCCTCTGCTAGGATTAAAGGCATGCACCATCATGCCTAGCCCAGTTCAAGTAATCTTATAGTATCCTCCTAAAGTTTTTTTTTTTTAAATATTTTATTTATTATTTTTGTTTTATGTGTATGCATGTATCGCCTGTGTATAGGTAAGTGTACCCGTGTTGTGTAATGCTGGTGGAGGACAAGAGGCCATCGGATCCCTTGGGACTGGAGTTTCAGACAGTTGTCAGCTGCCATGTGGGTGCTGGGATTCGAACCTGGGTCTTCTGCAAGAACAGTCAGTGTTCTTAACTGCTGAACCATCTCTCCAGCCTCATAAAGTTGTTTTTTTGGTTTTGGTTTTTGTCAGGATGTCATGTAGCCCATGCTGGCCTCAAACTCCCTGTGTAGCCAGAGATGACCTTAAACTCTAATCCTGATGCCTCAACCTAGCTAGGCCTGGTGGCCCATGCTTGTAATCCCAACATAAGAGAGACTGAGGCAGGAGGAATGCCCCAAGTTCAAACCAGCCCCTGGTTGCTACAGTAAGCTCCAGGCTAGCTTGGGTTACATAAAGACCCTGCCATAAAATAAAACAAGCTTGGGCCTGATGATATGCACCTGTAATCCCAACAGTTGGGAGGCAGAGGCAGGAGAATTAGAGTTCAAGGTCATCCTCAGCTATAGAATAAATTTGAAGCTAGTCTGGGATACCTGAGACTGCATCAAAAGAAACCGAAAAAAACAAAGCAAGCAAAACAATCAGAAAATGAAAACAAACAAGCAAACAACTAAAAACCCTTAAAATCTAAAACAAGCCAGGAATTGTGGCCCATCATGCCTTTAATCCCAGCACTAGGGAGGTAGAGACAGGTGAGTTTTGAGGCCAGCCCGGTCTACAAAGTGAGTTCCAAAGCCAGGAAGGGCTACATAATGAGACCTCTATCCCAGAAAATAAACAAACAAACCACTAAACCCCTTCTTCCTTCTTGTAAATTCTGAACGACATTAGAGAGTCAAGGATTTAAAAAGGCTGGGCTATACATTAAATGATTTTTGTGTACCAGAAGTAGGTAAGAACTAGGTTGTTCAGATTGAATACTGAGACTTTTAATAATGACAAAGGAAAAGTAGTCAAGACACACATTTTAATGAAGAAGACACTACAAGATACACTGCTCCTGACCTTGCAGCCTAAGTAACCTCTGTGGAGCTGTCTGATTCTGGTGTGTCATTGCGCTGTGGGTTCATGTCAGATGCAGGCCTATTCTACCACCTTCAACTCAAGACCGTTAAGGGTTAAAGGATATATCCAAGGTCCTATCTTGAAATGCCTCGGCTGTCTTACCCTGCAATACTGCTGTCCCTTTGTGCCTCTCTTTCCCACTTAGAATGAGAAGTGATGCCAGCCATACTTTAAGACCAACGTGAGCATGATGGTGAAATGAATACAGGCATCAAGGCAGTTATGCATAATCGAGAGTCGGGAATGGGTCGTACTGACAATGTGTTGTTTTGCTCAGTAATGTCAGTGGATTTAGTTTTCTCTTGGTTAAACTGGGCTGGTACCCATTCTCTCTTCCTCCACTTTCACGCTGTGAATGACAGCATCAATTTAAAACATAGTATCTGGCAGAAATGTAGCTCAGACTACTCAATCTAAGTCTCATCAGTTCATTATTTAGACCAGAGCCAAGCTACCATGGCTCTGCCATCAGACTGTGGATAGAGCCACTTTGCTTTATTGTTGGCATTTACCTTGAGATCATTGATATGTAGAAACTCATCAATGATGGACTTGGACTTCCTCTCCATCTCTTCTTCTGACAGTGAGGGCTTGTCAGGGGCTGACATTGATGACATGTCTGGTTTCACAACTAGTGAGATCAAAAAGTAAGAAGATAAAAATAATTATTAAAATGGGATGATGGATGGTAATATATATGTTGTTACATTGCTTTTTCAATGGAGACATTCTGCAGACACCGGATTCACAGTCACACACTGGAAAGCAGAACAAAGAAGCCCTTTATTCCAGAAATGACATGGAGTAAAAACGTCCTAACCTATTTTACAGCAACGAAGATAAGTTCAGGATGTGGGACCCTGGGGGCAAGAGCTTCTCAGCTGCTTCAACGATGAGCACACAACAGTGAGCACACTGAGTCTTGCTCCCACTGGTGCCTGTGTAAAAAACAGACACTGGAGCTCCTCCCTGTCAAACTGGCACAGGGTGCGGCGGGGGCACCTCTTTCCTTCTCTGCTCTACATTTGCCCCACCTTACAAACCTGTTTAATCTCCACTAGTCATTCAGGGAGGGAGGCCACCTCAGAGCTCCCCTGCTTCTAAGTAGTTAAGTACAGTTATTTCGTTCCATCATAACATTTTTCTCAGTTTACATCTTTTGAGGAATTATTTGACAAAGTCCGTTGTGTTAGATAGCTTCATTTGTCAACTTGACCGACCTGGGAAGAGGAAGCCTGAACTGGGGAATTGGCCTGTGGGCATCTCTGTGAGACATTTATTTTCTTGATTGTTGAGTGATGTGGGAGGGCCTTGTCTACCCTGGACAATGCCACCAGGTGGTTCTGGTTTGTTCAAGAAAGCAGGCTGGAGAGATGGCTCAGTGATTGAGAGCACTGACTGCTTTTGCAGAGGACCTGGGTTTGATTCCCAGCACCCACATGGAGGCTGACAACCATCTGTAACTCCAGTTCTGACACCATCTTCTGACCTCTAGGGGTACTGCATGACATGGGTGCAACCACCTACAAGCAATATACTTGTACATATAAAGTAAAAATAATAAATATTTTTAGAAAAGCAGGCTGAGCATGGGCCAGAGGAGCAGGCCAACAGGCAGTGTTCCTCCATGGTCTGTGCTTCATTCAGCTCCTGCCTCTGGGTCCCAGCTCTGACTTTCCTCAGTAATGAACTACAACCTGGGAGATGGAAGATAGACTAAACCCTTTCCTCCCCAAGTTAGCTTTGTTGTTGTTGTTGCTGTTTTTTGTCTTTTTGAAACAGGGTCTCCCTGTAGCCCCAGCTGTCCTGGAACTCACTATGTAGACCAGGCTGGCCTTGAACTCACAGAGATCCGCCTGCCTCTGCCTCCCAAGTGCTGGGACTACAAGCGTGCACTACCATGCCCGGCTGCTGATCCATGTTTTTAATCACAGAACTAGAAAGTAACCAGAACAGCCTTTCGATCCATAAGAACAAAGGCTGAAAGCAGTGATCAAACGCCTAACACAACATGAATTGCACGCAGGGAAGATGTCTTCCAGCTGCTACATCATGCACCATCATGGGCTTTTTCAGGTTCGTTCTGTATGATTCCAAAGTACCTAGCACACATAAGAAAGCCTCTTGTCCCTAAAAGTGTATTATTAAGTCTACACCGAACTGGAAGAAGACATTTTAATTTGCCTCCGAAATCCACTGAGACAACAGTAACAAAAACTAAGTGCTGAACAAAATTTAAAGTTATATAAACACTACAAGCAGCCAATACATTGAGAAAATGCTGAAATTTATCAATAATTTTATTTTTAAGATAGGCTTTCATGTAGCCCAGGCTGGTCCCGAACTTCTGGTCCTCCCGCCTCCACCCTTAAGTGCTGAGATTACAGGCATGTGCACTCTGCTCATTTTTGTGCAGGGCTTATGCTCAAAGCAAGGGCATTCTGTGTGCTAGGCAGGCACTTGACTGCTGAGCTACAGTCCAGCCATGACCTTCACTGTCAGACTCATCAGGACCTTGGACATCATTGTAAACCATTGTATTTAGCAAGAGGTCTTTACGTTGTTTCCTCTTCATAGCAACCTTATAAGGGTTAGGTGGATACACTCATTCTTTAAGAATGAAAAAACTGAAACTCAGGTTAAAGACATGAGGTAATTTTTTCAGAGCAGGTTTTGGAGCAGATACATGATAAACAAATAAAACCCACAGAAGTTACAGGGAGGATGAAGGCCAGAAAAGACAATCTGATCCTCCTAAGGAGTAGCCAAATAATGTAAGAATTTTCATACCTTTGAGGGCTTTATACAATGTAGACACTCTCAAGACAATGCAAGCATTGAAGGAACTTGAGAGAAATTCAGATTGCTGAGGACCTTGTGGTCAGGACACTTCATAGAGACAGGGAAGAGTTACACTCTGGAGAAAGGCCTACCTTCGCCACAGAAAACAATGATGCTTACTTTCAACAATCAAACTGCTGCGGGTGCTATTAGGTGGTGATGCTGAATTCCATTCATACACAAGGCCTCTGTATTTTTGCTTCTGAATTTAGGGCCGGCATCTTGGTCTACCTGTCTGTCCCCAGGACCCTCTCACCTGGCTCTCTCATTTTGTTCCGCTCGGCTTCGCTGCTGCCCCTGTCAGCGTCCAGGCCTCCGGTCAGCTGCTTTACTGTCTCCAGCATCTCTCTGCGCTGCTCTTCCTGAGTCTGATTGTCCAGCAGGTCTTTGCTGCTGCTGCCCCGCAGGAAAGTGTTGGGACGCAGTGTCCCGGGTGGGAGGGGCTTGTCATTCTTCTCCCTGCCCATGCTTCCTCGACTTAAAGGACAAAACAACACTTTTCAAAAGATAACCCTAACCCCTTTACATTCAAATGACAGAACAGCACTAAATGTATTATGGACTAATATCAAAAGTGCAGCTTTTCTGATTTGCCACATAGAACTTTCTTTTCTTTTTTTAATATTTTTTTTTTTTTTTTTTTTTTTGAGACAGGGTCTCCCTGTAGCCCCAGCTGTCCTGGAACTCACTATGTAGATCCGGTTGGCCTTGAACTCAAAAAGATCGGCCTGCCTCTGCCCTCCAAGTGCTAGGACTAAAGGCGTGTACCACCACGCCCGGCTAATTTTAATTAAAAAAATTTTTTTTTTAATTTTTATTTTATGTGTATGGGTGTTATGCCTGCATATAGGTAAGTGCACCCATGTCGTGCAGTGCCCAAGGAGGACAGAAGAAGCTGTCAGATCCCCTGGAACTGGAGTTTGGACAGTGGTTAGCTGCCATGTGGGTGCTGGGAATCAAACCCACGTCTTCCGCAAGAACAATCAGCGTTAACTGCTGAGCCATCTCTCCAGCCCCTTTTAAAAAATATTTTATTGTTTTTATTTTATGTGTATGAGTGTACTGCCTGCATGTATGTGAGTGCACCCATGTTGTGCAATGCTAGAACTGGATTCCCCTGGAACGGGAGTTAAGGATGGTTCATAGCTGCCATGTGGATGCTGGGAATCGAACCCGGGTCTTCTGCAAGGGCAGTCAGTGCTCTTAACCGCTGAGCCGTCTCTCCAGCCCCAGAACTTTATTTTCTTATAATTATTATCATGTGTGAGGGCTTGTGCATGCCATGGCACACATGTAGAGGTCAGAGGACACATTACAGAGTCTCCTTCCACCTTTATGTAGGTACCAGGATTGAACTCAGGACGTCAGTCTTATCAGTAAGTGCTGGGCCAGCTCCCACTTGAGTTTAGACAGAAGGCACCAATTCATTTTCAAAGTATGTGAACTCATATAAAGAAAAAAAAATCAGTGTTTTCAAAGAAATACTTATTAAGATGCTTTAATTTTTCTTTTTCTTTTGGTAGAAAAAAGGACACTAAAAATTTCTATTCAAAAAAATTTTAGGTTAGTCCTTGATGTAGTTATTTTTTTAAAAATATTTTATTTATTTATTTTATGTGTATGCGTGTACTGCCTGCATGTAGGTAAGTGCACCCATGTCGTGCAATGCGTGCAATGCCAGCGGAGGACAGAAGAGGCTATCGGATCCTCTGGAACTGGAGTTACAGACAGTTGTTAGCTGCCATGTGGGTGCTGGGATTTGAGCCTGGGTCTTCTGCAAGAACAGTCAGTGTTCTTAATCACTAAGCCATCTCTCCAGCCCCTGGGGTAGTTATTTTTTAAAAATCAGCTTTTATACATAAAACAGGATGGTTTAGGTTTTCAAAGTTGAAAAATATTCTAGTTAGGTATGGTGCTGCGTGCCTTTAGTCCCAGCACTTGGGAGGTTGAGGTGGGGGGGGTCTCTCTGTGAGTTCTAGGCCAGCAGGGGCTACAGGGGGACCCTGTCTCAAAAACAAAACAACAACAACAACAACAAAGTACTATTGCTTTTGGTAGATGATGTCTGCTGAGGGAGGCCAGGCTTCCTCATGAATGTGGCCCATGGTAGGCTGTCCAAGCTATAGTGGATAGCCAAACACTCATGAGTATATGTGCAGTGCTAACTGTACTCAGTGGTTAAAAAAAAGGAGAAGACATTAAGTAGGGAGGAGGATGTGGAGGGAATATCTAGGTCTAGGAGGAGTTGGGAGAGAAGACGTAGCAGGTGAATATCATCTAAATAATTGTATTCTTAGAATACAGAATAAAAAATAACAATAGAAGTGGAGGCCTGTGAGATGTCCCAGCAGGTAAAGGAACTTGCTGCCAAGCCTGATGACCTGAGTTCCATCTCCAGGACCTATGTGTTAGAAAGAACCGACTTTACCTCCTCATGTATGTACCACGACATGTGTGCCCCCCCAATAAATAAATGTAATAAATTTTAAGTGTCAGTGCTAATGCCTTACTTTAGCTCATAAAATGCTCAAGAAAAAAGACAGACAGATGGAAGCAAGAATTGAACAAATGGCAGGAGACAAGCACCACAGGTCATGGCCTCAGTCCTTAACCCTGTATGATGATACTTTTAATTTTCCAGAAACACCACAAGTCATGGCCTCACTCCTTAAGCTGTATGATGACACTCTTAATTTTCCAGAAACACCACATGGTCATGGTGACAGTCTTATTTTTCCAGAAACTTCACATATGGGAATTACTTGAAGCCAAAGCCATGTGCTTTATTACTTTGAAGAAGGACCCTGCATGTCTCTCTGCTGACTCTTTGGTTAGACAATTTTAACCTGCCAGGTCAACAGTCTCTTGACCATGGCAGTTCAGAAGCAGCAAAGTAAAAGGCAAGGAGGGGAAAGACTTGGGCCAGACAAACGGGAACCAATGAGCATATGCAAGTACTTAGAACACAGGCACCAGGAAATTCACAGTAGGGCTGGACCACAGTCTAAGCGCTCTTGAACAGTTGGCTTGTGCTACGCGGACTGTTTCCGAAGCCCAAGGAATGAGCCACACAGTCTAAAAAGTCTATCCAAAGAAACTCATTCAAATAATAACACAAAAGTTTGGGAGTCAAAAGAAACTTCAGCTGCCACTGCTATAGGTTCTCAACTATTCTACGTAAACAGCCAAAGAATGCTCGACTATGGCAGCCCCATAAATGCAAAGGAAGATCCGCAGGCACAAAGATACAGCAACAAAACCCAGTATTTGGCATGACTGATGTCAGCTAATTGTAAAACACTAAAAGGAAACAAAAAGGAAAGAAAAATAGTCAAATGGGCCCAGAGACTGCAGAGGATCACCTCAGACCTCACTTGAAGAATGCTGTTAGAGGGGGATACAGGTCACGGAGGTCATGTTCCTGAACTGACATGCCTGATGAGAACGAGGCTAGTCAGCATCTTGGCAGAAGCCTCGCAGGCCCCAGACATGCCTGGAGTCCTAGCTGGGTGGAACAAAGTACCGCCACATAACCTGCCCTTCCCTCTCATTCTGCCGCATCCTAAAGCCAAGAAATTACTGTGTCAAGATTAAAGGAAGAAGCCAACTTTAATGATAAGAACACATGCATAAGATTATCACCATAATCCATGTGTGAGACAGACAGAATGCATGTATATGACAGACAGACACTGACAAGCAGGACAGCCTTTAGTAAACAAAAGCAGATGCTCACCTGGTTAATGCCCTTCGGGACTCAAACTCTAAGGGTGTGGCTGACGGTGACCCTGCTGGTGCTGGAGGTTGCAGAGGAGAGAATCTATTTAAACTGGAAGCGCTTGACCGTAAGGCATCTATAGGTATTGTAGATTTAGAAAAAAATACAAATTACATACTTAAAATGCACACTTTTTTTTTTTTTTTTTTGCCTCGTTGGAGTAAGGTCTGAGACCAGAAATTGGTTTTTTAAATCTGAGATAGGTTTATGTTGGCCAGGCTGGCCTCGAACTCCTGGGTTCAAGCAACGCTCCTGTAGAACACTCCCAAGTAGGTGGGACAGCAGGGGGACTCCTTGGCACCTGACTGAGACCAGGAAATTCTCTCTCCAATGCCCACCCCCCTTTTTAAAAATATAAGTGTACCATGTGCATGCAATGCCAGTGGAGGCCAGAAGAGGTCATACGGATGGATGGTTGTTAGCTGCCATGTGGGTACTAGGAACCGAACCTGGTCCTCTGCAAAAGCAGCCCATGTTCTTAACCAGTGAGCCATTTCTCCAGTTCAGCTGACACCTTTTTGAAAAATAGGATCTTGTGTAGCCTGGGCTGGTCTGGAATCTATTATATAGCCCAGGATGACTTTGAACTTCTGATTTTTCTGACTCTAGGTGCTGGGATTATAGGCATTCTTTACCACCACACCTCGTTTTGCCATTATTGGGGATCAAACCCAGGGTTTTGTGCATGCCAGGCAAGTACTCTACTACCTGAATTACATTCCCAGCCTTAAGTTAGTAACTTAAAAAAAATAAAGTGGTAAAAATGGAGATAGTTTATTAAGCAAGAGAGCACTTCTGAGTGTGGAGGGGGACCAGAGCTGAGAAAGTTCAGAAGGTCAATGGTGGACACCAGTAATTTCTTTTTTAATATCTAAAATTTTTTTTTATTTTTATGTGCATTAGTGCTCTGCCTGCATGTATGTAAGTGCACCTGTGTCACTGCAATGCCAAGAAGGCCAGAAGAGGATTTCAGATCCCTTGGAACTGGAGTTATGGACACTTTTTTTAGCTGTGTGGGTACTGTGTATTTAACCTAGGTCCTCTGCAAGAGCAGTCAGTGCTCTTAACTGCTGAGACAGGGTCTCCCTGTATCCCTGTAGACCCAGCTAGCCTGGAACTCAATATGTAGATCAGGCTAATCTTGAATTCAGAGATCATCCTGCCTCTGCCTCTGCCTCCCAGGTGCTAGGATCAAAGGCATATGCCACACCTGGCTCAAGACCAGTAATTTCTAACAATTAGGGTTATGCCAATCTTTGTGATCACCTACTACCATACGCTGAGAAGTATATTATAGGGAATTTCCATATTAAAGAGCCCAGAAATTTGTTCATCAAAATTTCTGCCTTTAAAAATTATATTTAGCCAAGTGTGGTGGCAAACCTGTAATCACAGAACTCAGAAGGTGTGGCAGGAGAATCAGGAGTTCAAGTTCTTCCTCAGCTACACTGTGAGCTCTAGGCCAGCCTGGGATATATGAGAGCCTATCTCAAAAACAAAACCCGAAAAACAAAAAACAAAAACCTAGCACTAAGATATCCTGAGTAGGGCACAGGAACACAAGGATGAGGAAAGCCGGAAAAACAGTGACACCCACAGATCCCAATACAATGAATGACTTCATTGACATAAGACTATGCAATGAACTAAATAAACAATGATTAAAGAAAACAAACAAACTTGAAATTTCTCAGCTTTTCTTTGGTCCACTGGACTTCTTTACGTATTAAGACACACGTCAATGATCCAGACATGTTCAACCTTTGGCTGAAAGACCATATTCAGCCTTACAGGATAGAGGGTAACAAGGAATGGAGCCCAACACAAAATGGTAAACTTACTTAAAACACTGAGATTTTTTGCAAAAAAAAAAAATTGGGGGCGGGGAGCTGAGGACCAAATCCAGGGCCTTGTGCTTTTTAGGTAAGAGCACAACCACTAAGCTAAATCCCCAAGCCACTAGATTGTGTGGTTTGTATAAACATTGTTTTATTTAATAAAGCATTTTTATTGAGAATTTCATAAAATGTATTTTGAGTAAACTCAATCACATTCATCCCCTTAAGTCCTTTCAGATCTACTCCTGACTCCAAATCCCCCAACTTTATGTCTTTCTTTTCTGTTAAGTAGCCCATGAACTCCAGTTTCTGCTCCCCATACACTTCTGGATGATGTGTCCCCACGCCCGACTTGTTTTTGTTTTTCTTACTGTTGCTGCTGTTGTTTTGAGGCAGGGTCTGGCCAGGCAGCTGTGTCTGGTCTGGTACTTGGTATATAGCTGCATATCTATGACTTGTGGCAATCCTCCTGCCTCAGCACCCTGCATGCTAGCATTACTATGTATGTCAACACACCTAGCCTCACCTAGTTTTTTTGTTTGCTTTTTGTTCTTTTTGAAACAGGGTCTCCCTGTAGGCCCACCTGTCCTGGAACTCACCATGTAGACCAGGCTGGCCTTGAACTCACAAAGATCCACTTGTCTCTGCCTCCCAAGTGCTGGATCTACAGGCATGAGCCACCATGCCTGGCTCCTCACCTAGTTTTTTAAAGATGGGTTCTACTATGTAGCTCAGGCAGGCACTGAACTTGTGACCTTCTTGCCTTCATCTCCCAAGTGTTGGCATTATAGGCACATACAAAAAGATGTGGTGCTCAAAATCTGAGGTGTTTTTTTCCTTTTGGGGGCCAGGGCCTCCAGTAACCCAGGTTGGCCTCAAGGCCATTATGAAGCTGAGGTTGGCTTTGAAGTCATGATCCTCCTGCCTCTGCTGCTCAAGACCTGGGATTATAAGGATACAACATCTTGCCCAGTTAAAATCTCAGTTTTGGTAAAAGATTTTGAAAAATATTTCCATCTACTTCTTCATTCTTTTAAACCTCCATGTTTCTGTGTACTAGGGTTCTTTGTGATCCAAAACAACAGAGCACAGATAAAGGTTCTAATTATATAGCCTGAAGGGAAGAATGCTCTGCAGGGTATGACAGCCACAGCTGACAATGGCCAATGGCTATTCTGAAATAGCTAGTAGAGAGGATTATTTTTATTTCGTTGTTATTTGTTTTTTGTTTTTTTTTTGATAGGATCTCATTATTTTCTTTTCTTTTTAAATATTTATTTGTGTGTGTGCACGTATGTGCATGTGCCACAGCATGCAGCGTGTGAAGATCGGAGGACAACTTGTAGGAGCTGGTTCTCTTTCCACCATAAGAGTTCCAGAGACGGAACTCAGGCCGTCACACTTGGCAGCAAGCACAATCACTTGCTGAACCATGACCTTCTCACTCATTTTAAAAACATTATTGGGGCTGCAGAGATGGCTCAGAATTTAAGAGCACTGGCTGTTCTTGCAGAAGATCTGGGTTTGAATTGCAGCACCCACCTGGTGGCTAACAACCATCTGTATCTCCAGTTCCAGGGAGATCTGATGCCCTCTTCTGTCCTCCATAACACGGGTGCACTTACACACACGCAGGCATAACACTCATACATATGAAATAAAAATAAATAAATAAAATCATTTTATTATTATGGTATGTGATGCTTGCATACATATGCTAGGGCACACAAGTGGAGTACAGAGTTGGTTCTCTCTTTCTACTTTCATGCAACTCCTGAGGCTTGAACTCAGGAGGTTTGTCCCATGAGTGCTTTTACCCACTGAAACATTTAGTCAGCCCCTAGAGTCTTACTCTTTAGACTAGGCTGTCCTGGAATTCAACCATAGCCCAGGCTGGCCTGGAACTCATAGTGATTCTTCTGTAGGATTACAGCAAGTTACCACACTTGGTGTTAGGGAGGATCTTGAATGCTCCCAACACACACACACACACACACACACACACACACACACACACACACACACACGCAGGCACGCAAGCACGCACGCACACACACACACAGAGACACAGACACAAAATAGGATGGGGGATATGTCTCAGTGTTAAGAGTGCCTACCTCACATATGCAGGGCCCTGGGTTCAATCCGCAGTACTACAGAAATAAGATAAATGAGCTGACAAACATGCCAACTACTCCAATCACTATGCACTGCGTACAGGTATTGAAATGATATATTGTACCCCTAATATATGAAGAATTACCATGTATATATTAAAAATATTAAACGGCATGGCTGGGGCTAGAGAGATGGCTCAGCAATTAAAAGCACCGACTGCTCTTACAGAGGACCCAGATTCAGTTCCCAGCACCTACTGGGCTGCTAACAACCATCTGTAACTCCAGTTCCAGAGGATCTGACACTTTCTGACCACTGTGGGTACTGCATGACATGGGTGCACTTACACACATGCATACAATACACTCAGACACATTAAAAAAAAAAAAAAAAAACCCAGGTATGGTTCTTTGTAGGATCAGTCCAACGATACCACTTTGAGCTACTTTCTAAGTTTACATAGTAACTTCTTAGAGCTTGTTAAATAAATAAATAAAATAAAAGAAATATACAAAATATACTGTTAAACAGCTTAACTAAAAACATTTTCTGGGACTGGAGAAATGGCTCAGTGGTTAAGAGCCTGTACTGCTCTGGCAGAGAAGAGAGGGGTTCAGTTCCCAGTACCCACATAACAGCTTACAACTTATAAACTTACAACATCTTATAACTCCAGTTTCAGGGCATCTGACACACTCTTAATTCAGGCCTCAAAAGGCTCCTGCAGGTATGTGCGCACACGTACACATGGGAGGGGAAGATACACTCACACAGGCACACACACACACACACATAAAAATAATAAAATCTTTAAAAACTTTAATTCTTAGAGTTCAAGTTTGGAAAGCTTCTTACCGAAAAGGAAATCCTTGATTCTATTAGTGAGGGTCATCATTAAAAGTCAAGGCATGATTAGTCTACAGACCTTTTCCTAAAATAGTTTCCTCGATGCCAGGAGAGCATTTCGAGGCAAAGGGGTTAAGAGACGCATCCAGCCGAGAAGGGCCTTCCACACATACCAGTGTCGCTTGCCTTTGCTCCCCCGCTGCTGCCTTTCCCCCAGCTGCCCAGCTGTGCCTTTGGTACCAGCTGAATTTTCTCGTCAATGGTGGGCTGTAACACAAGCGGCCACAGGTCACTTTCAGGAAACAGTCTAGAATGGATTTCTTCTTCAGTTGGTGCACTAAAACCAATTTTAGCAACAGAGTGTTGTCTGGAGTGCCAGTTTAACAAACTGCTCAACAAGTGGATTTCACAGCCCTTAAAGTACCTCCTTTGACTTGGCTTCACTAAACAGTGTGAAGGCAGCAGCTTCCAGAATTCACTCAGGTCCTTGCAGCTAGCATGGCTTACTAATCTGCCAAATGAAATAAGCAGCTTCTACTGACTCCTCTTATAGAATGCCCAGTAATTTAAAAGAAGGAAAAAAGAGTGTACACATAATACAAGTAGCTCAGCAATACCACACATTATACATCAAATAAACAGGTCAACAGGCTATTTGACGATGGGGCTGGAATCAGGATAAAGGGGCCTATGAAGAAAGAGAATGTAGGGTGGGGCAGGGCGCAGAAGAGCAGGCCTGGAAGCTTGTTCAACCTCCCAGGCACATTCTTATCATACAACACACATATAAGTTGGGCTGGACAGGCGTCCTCAGTAATAAAGGAATTTCTACAGTCTGATGGTTCACCAGACTGTCTTCCCACAGAACAAGCTTTCTCAGGAATGACTCAATAATGACTATGTAGAGTTTTCTAATTTATTGTTTCAGGTTGGCATGCAAAGTAATGGGTTTGATACACCGTTTGCATACATGGGCGCTATTGCATTTTGTTCTCTCCCCCCCACCCCATGTAGAGTGGTTTGGAATGTCTTCTAGAACACAAAGCACGGCTACAGTACAGCCGTCTACAGCAAGTTTATTAACAATTCACATACTTAAAATTACGGCACATGGGGCTGGAGAGATGGCTCAGCAGTTAAGAGCACTGACTGCTCTTGCAGAGGACCCGGGTTTGATTCCCAGCACCCACATGGCGGCAGTGAACCGTCCTTAACTCCAGTTCCAGGGGAATCCAAAGCCCTCTTCTGACTTCCACGGCATTGCATGACACGGGTGCACTCACATACACACAGGCAATACACTCGTACACATAAAATAAAAATAATAAAATATTTTTAAAAATTATGGCACACATACAGGAGGGTCTTTGTTTTTAAAAACCTTTTCAGTGATTTATTATTTTTATTTTATGTGTATGAGTATTCTTCCTACATGTATGTAAGTGCACTCATGCATGAAATACTTGCAGAAGTCAGAAGAGGACATCAGATCCTGGAACTGGAGTTACAGATGGATGTTAGCCACCATGTGGGTGCTGGGAACTCAATCTGGGTCCTCTGCAAGAGCAGCCAATGCTCTTAACTGCTGAGCCATCTTTCCAGCACTGCTTTTAAAAATCTTTGTGTGTATATGGTATGTGAGTCTGGGCACTCATGTGCTATGGAGTACATGTGTGGGTTAGAGGCCCACTTCGGGTATTGGTCCTTGCCTTCTACCTTGTTGAAACAGGGTCTCCTGTTTGCTATTATGTGTGGAGGCCAGCTGGCTGGGACGCTGTCTCCTAGCTTGCCACAGGAGTGCTGGGCACTACTGCATCCTTAGGTTTCAACAGCAAGCATTTTGCCCACTAAGCCGTCTCACCTGCCCCTGGACATTCTATTATATACAGTGTTCATTTTGTAATGTCCATGCCCAAAACTGTAAGTAAAAACACATTTGTTATTTTTATTATGATTATTAATTTGGGTTTTTGAAACACGGTCTCACTATACAGTGCTGGCTAACCTGGCCTCAAATTCACAGAGATCTGCCTACCTCTGCCTCCCAAGTACTAGGATTAAAGGCCCGTGTCACCACACCCAATCTCACATTTGTTATATTAAATATTGATATTGGAGGAATTCTTTAAACATAAGATTTTAGTTAAAACTTCATTTCTAGAAATGGATCAGAATCAAGTTGCATTCAGCAATGAAATTCTTGCTCTAGGACATAACTAGAATGAGGTACAGACTCTCATCGCACAGGACCCTAGCTAACCAAGTCATCCAGAGCCAGCCAGGTACACACCTGAAGTCCCAGCACTCAGGAGGCCAAGGCAGAGTACTGCCTAGAGTTCAAAGCCATCCTCTGCTTAAAAAAGAGAGACTGATGCCAGGCATAGTGGTACACGCCTTTAATCCCAGCACTCAGGAGGCAGAGGCAGGCAGATCCTTGCAAGTTCAAGGCCAGCCTGGTCTACATAGTGAGTTCACGTCAGCTGGAACTACAGGGAGACCCTGTTTCAAAAAGACAAAAAAAAAAAAAGAGAGAGACTGAAAGAGATTTCTCCCTGAGGCAAAGCATTAACAGAATTAAGAGGGTGCAAACAGCTTTGCTCATTTTATTTCCATTCTTTTACCTTTTGGGGCGCAGGGCCTCTTTAGACTTCAGGTTGTTCTCAAACTCATTATGTAGCCCAGGATAGCCTCAAACTCACCCAGCACTGTTTTACTCTGTGCCACTTTTCCATTTCACCCTGATTTTTCCCATCAGCCAGGGTGGACCTTAGGGTTCTGCTAGAGGATGCCAGTGATCAGAACTAGACAGTGTACTACAGGGGAGGGTTAAGGGACACTGGCAACTGACTTGTAACCCATGAAATTCGGCAAGGTTCCATTCTGAGCAAACTTAATTCCACTTTCTCAAGTTCTTTACCTAGTTATAGTAATCAATTTATGGTGAAAACATCTGCTAGGAGAAAATACTTTTCTCTGGCTTGGATTTCAGAGACCCGCCCTCCTCTACCTCCCGAATGCTGGGACCAAAAGGTGAGTGCCACCATGCTCATTTATTGTCATTTGTTATATATGCATCTTAGAACTCTAAGATTACAAAATGTGTTTACAAAATGCTCAAAGAAATAAAAAGGCCTATGTAAGGCACGTGGAAAGCACTGATCAGTTCCAACTTGCAGAAAAAGACAGGTATCCAAAAGTGATCAATCCACAAACATGCAATATGGCTATTTTATATAAGCAAGAAGGACCTTGAAACACATGACAGCGATGTCACAAACTGCTCTGTCTGTTTATATAGTCCTGGCTGGCCACAAGCTCATAGCAATCCATTGCCCCAGCTTTCTAAGTGCTAGGCTTACAGATGTGTGCCACCACACAGGGCTTTTTTGAGATAGGGTCTCACATAGCCTAGGCTGGTCTTAAACTTACTAATTAGCTGAGGATGACCTTAAGCTTCTGACCCTCCTTCCTCTACCCTCTAAGTGCTAGGTTACAGGTATGCACCTGGTCTTGTGAGGTCTTTCAAATGTCACACTCACCTTAGTGATTTTCAAAAATTTGGAGGGGTCCAGAACCCGACTGTTCTTGGCTCCTTGGACAGTGTTCCACCCACCTTCGTCCACTCTCTGGACACCTGTGGGGAGAGCCGGTCAGTCTCTTATCACCTCAAATCAGTTTGGCACAATGTCAACTGAGCCTTGCCAATCAAAACTGAGGAAAATGACAAAGCGAGCTGTTTAACTAATAATGGCAGTTCTTTTTGGCAATGGAGTCTCACTATGTAGACCAGGTGAGCTACATATGGGTGTATGCCGGCAAAGCTGGCCTGGCAGTCCCCTACTTCCCATAGCATAAGAATACCGAGCACATCACTCTGCTTCCGCTGTTTTCAAGGAAACATTACTGACCTAGAAGAAACCAACTGACACAAATGACTACTTAACGTAGCACTGGACAAGGCGCAGGCTAAGTCTGGTATTATAGTTAATGACGACAACATTTGGGAAAGTTGGATGGACTTTACTGTCTAAAGTTTAGCTCACTGAATGATGTGGGGATGCAATATGCCTTTTCACTTCTCAAACACTGCTTCTCCAACCCTTTAGGTGTTCAGGAGGAAAATCCTAACCATTTTTTTTTTTTTTTCTTAAATTTCATGTCTACTTGTCAGGACATCATGTGAATCCAACCTTCAAAATAGATGCAAAGTCAGGCATGGTGGCAATCCTAGCACATGGAAGGCAGAAGCAAGAGGATCAGGAACTGGAGGCCAGACTAGGCTACACAGTGAGTTTCAGGTTAGCCACGCTTATATGTCAAGACCACTTCTCAAAAATAAAAGATAAAACAGAGCAGGAGGCCAGTCATGCTGGTACACGCCTTTAGTCCCAGCGCTTGGGAGGCAGAGGCAGGTGGATCTCTGTGAGTTCGAGGTCAGCCTGGTCTGCACAGTGAGTTCCAGGCCAGTTGGTAGACCCTGTCTCGCAAAGACCAAAAGAAAAAATAGATAAAAAACAAAACAAATATAATATGGAATCCAGCCTCCTTTACAATCAAAACCAGTGTTTTATTTAGCTTCCCAGATGAGGCTAAGAACTTGCGGGTGGCCAGTGCCTGCTTCTGTGTATGCTGTGGCAGTTGGCACGCTTCTAGTAAAGTGCAGATACCTTGCCACTTTTCTGAAACATGGCTAGCTATCTTCCTCTCACTGAGAGGGGAAAAAAAACACAATCTTTACAAATGGCCTACATTCAACTCTCAGGACTCTGGTCCCCCACTGCTTCCCACTTCTATTGTGGAGCAGCGCCTGCAGGGGCAGGGGCAGGAGCTGAGCTCTAGCCACACTGGCCTCCTCCTCCTCCTGTTCCTAGAAAACACTGCTTCAGGGCTTTTGTACTTTCTGTTCCCTTTAACTAAACCCCTCTTTCCACATTGTGGAAACTCCTCCCCTTTACCTGCTACAGGTCCCTGCTCAAAAGCACCAAGATGAACAGGCTCCCCAACCTCCCTATTTTAAATTGCAACCCCTGGGCAGGTGAGATAGCTCAGTGTGTAAAGGTACGTGTCCCCAAGTCTTATGACCTGAGGTTGATCTCTGGGACCCACACGATGGAAAGAGAGAATCAACTCCTTCAACTTGTCCTCTGAACTTGACCGTGGTAGGTGAATAATAATTTGCAGTCTGTTTGTCAAGACTTGCAGTCCCCACTGCCTCTTTAGCTTTGCACAGAACAAAGTTGTTTTGACAAATGATATTTTCTATTTCTGTATTTGTTTATTGCCACCTCAGTTGTATGAAGGAAGAGTCTTTGTCTCTTGTTAAGGGACAGCACTCAGCATCTGCTGCCTGGAAGATGAATGAGTGGTGAGGCACCACCCTGTGAGGGCTGCTCTGGCCACACAAGCTCCTTGACCTCTCTGCTACCTGACGTCCTGATCAACAGACTCTCAGCTTTCCTCTTCCTACAGCACCTATACCCTAGCTCTCCCCCCACTTCTCCTTATCTGCCCCATTCTCTAATAAATGTTATTTTCCTTGAATCATATGTGAGCATCCTCCATTTCTTAACATTGTAAGGATCTCCTTAACCTCTTCCCCAATTCTTTCTGTTTAGTTTAGCAGTAAATGCAAGTCATTACCTGACAGGTGGAGTGTTAAGTCCTGGGTGAAAAAGGTGAGTCAGGGGAGCAATCCCATGAAACCTGAGAGCAAATTTTCTTGTCTAGAAGAGTCAGTTTGTAACAGCTTCATGATGGTGCAACTGTGTCTGCGTTAAGTAACAGCTAATAGAAATTGAGTGTTTCCTCTGAGTGGGATGCCTTGCTAGACAAGGCATAAATCCTCACACAATTCCATTTTATAAGAAAGCAACTTGGGCAAGAAAACACAGCTAGTAGAGCTAACATTCAAAGCCAGGCAGGCTCCCAAGTAAGCTTTTAGCTGCTACACTACAAGATCTAGCATGGTGTACCACACCTCTCTTCAATCTCTGCAGGGAGAAGATATTGGCTACGGTGGCTACCCTGCACCCTGAAGCACACGGTGCAATAATATGGCCTATGTTTATCTCAAGCTCAATAGAAAACTGCCATTTCTCTTTGAAAAAGGTTTCCAAGTCCAAGGTCCCTAACCTCGTCAACAGATGAGTTTCTCAGGTAGAAAGTATCTTTCCTGTTCTTCACATCATTATACCTGCCTTGTCCTTTCTATTTTAACTGTCACAAAGTCTCACCTCCTTGCACACAGGATCTCAGCAACAATTCCTTTGCTGAGCTCAATGTACCCCTTTGACTCATACAATAAGCATGGAGCTGATAGAAACCTCACACCCCTAGCACCCCTCCCCCCAGTGAAATACCAAATCTTGTCAGAGGTAACTAGTATGACATTACTCCTTTGTTTATAAACTTAAGACTCCTATAAACCAAAATCAAGTCTCAAGTTCTTGATCTCAATTCTTTCAAACATTTTCCCATTCCTTCTAAACACTTAAGTTTTACTCCCATCAGGCTTGTTTATTCCTTTTGGAAGGTTATTTAATTTCATGACTGAAACCTTTTCAAAATACCAACTATTCTTTAAGGCCAGGTCCAGTGTTCCTTCACATAAAGATTTCTTCTGACTGTCTAACTTCCTTCTATTCTGTTCTCAAACAAAATTTTTTATGTACATGAGTGTTTTCCCTGCATGTATGTAAGTGCACCCATGCATGCAATGGCCAAGGAGGTCAGAAGAAAACACTGGATCCCCTGGACTAGAATTACAGATGGTTGTTAGCTGCAAGGTAGGTGCTGCGAACTGAACCTGGGTCCTCCGCAAGAACAGCCAGTACTCTTAGTCCCTGAGCCACCTCTCCAGCCCTTCAAAGCATTTTTAACTCTAAAATTTAACAGCCTTAATGGAGAGTACATTTGGTAATTGAGGACCCTGTCTGTTCACTTGAATGTTTCCTAGATGAGTTAGAGCCTCCCAGACAGACTAAGTTTTCAGAGGAAGAACTGTTTTCCACTTTTCAGGCCTCTCACTACTGCTCTGATAGGGAGATTTCCTAGAGTCTTGAGAATTCCTGGCTTTGCAGAAGTCAAAACGCACTTCAGTTCTACACTCTCGTTTCAGTCATGAACTAGTTTTCAGGTGACGTGACGTTGCTTAACAACTGCCTCTCTGTTCTTTGTAACCTCATTTCAGCCCTGGGTAGCGAATTCTTAACATCTCCGCCCTGCAGGCTTCCTGGTTCTCCTAGCTCAATGGCCTCTGCCCTCACCTGGTCTTCTCTTCTCCTTGGTCATGAGTTGCTGGACCTTCCTTTGCTCCTCTTGTTCTTCTATTTTGGCTTCTTTGTGAATCTGCTCTATAGTTTTAGGCCCTTGATCTGCTCTTCGTGATACCCAATTACACTGTAAGAATAGAAATATGAAGTCAAGAAAATGTTACTAAAAGGGCTGGGAATATAGATGAGTGGTAGAGTACTTGCCTGGCATGTGCAAGGTCCTGAGTTCAATCCTCAGCACCATATACAATAGTAATAATTGTCAAAATAAAATAAACTAAAAGCCCGCACTTTTGACTACCAGAATCATATAAATACCTACCACTCTGGAACTCTACACTTCTCAGGTGTCACAGCTGATACATGTCACTTTAAATTCCCAACTCTGGACAGTTGTATACTGCACACCCCAACAACTGATGGACAGAAAGACAGGGAAGAACTGGCCCAAAGGTGTTTGTCATCATTCTCTATACTCTGATCTGGGACATAAAGTAGGGCCAGGAAGGATGAGGACTCCAGGGGCTGTGTACCATGGGCTGCAAATACTTAGTCCAGGCTGTGACTTCCTCCAATATTATGACTGGTACCCTACCTAGAGTACCATACGATGCTGCTTTATCCTCTCATGAGGACAAAACTTGTCTCCTTCTATTCCTAACTACAGTTCCAACATTTGAAATGCGTGTAAGTGGCAGAAGGCATGGATGGAAAACAAGATGAATTCAGCATTTGAATTCATCAGCTGATTAAGGCTTTGGTATTAAGAAGGATCCCGATGTCAAACTCGGGCTTAGTAAGATGAAGAGTCCTCATCAACTCTCTGGCCTGAATGCAAGACAGGAATGAGCTGGGGCCTAGGCTCACTTTCAGCTGTGGTACATTCCCTGCATGAGTTAAACTAAGAGAAGAGGCAGCTAAAACCACAGCTGGGGTGAGAAGGGAGGGGAACAGAATAGTACAGAAGGAACCCAGTTCCTCAAAGAGATGGAGTCTTCCTCACATACCAGCCTCAGGTCTATCACATCTTGAAGCATAAATCGAATCCTGGATGAAGTTTTTCTTTCTTTCACAATTTTCTCCATCTGGTTAAAGTACTGGTCCATACGTGGCTGCAACAGATAAAATCACCAGTATTCCTGGCTGAGAAATTAAACTTTCACTTTACCACATACTTTTATCTTTTTTCCTGTTAGAAAACGTCTTGCTATGCACACCAGGACAGCCTCAAATTTGTGATCCTTCTGCCTTAGCTTCCTCAATGCTGGGACTGCAGGTGTGTGCCGCCATACTACATACAGTACCACGTACTATTTTAAATGGCTTAGGAATATCATTTACTCTTACAATTGAAAGTGATCGTGAAATTAGCAGTGCCATTTCTTTACATTTATCTACCTACCCACTTACCTGTCTATATACCTACCCACTTATCTACCTGCTACCTATTCACTTATTTACCTTCTACCTACCTACTTATTATGTGATTATGTGTATGTGTGTGGGCTCATGTGTGAAGGTCAGAGGACAACTTTCAGGAGTTAATTCTCTTTTTCAATCATGTGGGTCTTAAGGATCAAATTCAGACTTGGAGGTAAGTGCCTTTACCTGCTGAGCCATCGCACTAGCCCTGGCAGGACCATTTTAATTGAGCATATGACCACCCACTCAATGAAGTCTACATTTGCCAGGTTCCCTAGAAATGTTATATTGCAGTTCTGGGAACTTCCTTAAGAGAAATGGCTGTCTTTTGCTCCTTTTCCTACAATTTCAGAGAACAGAACACTGAAGGTTGTTGGGCTGGAAAAACTAGTTGCCTCTGAACTTTGTTAACATGGGGAGAAATAAACCCAATCTTGTACAACCACCCAATATGGGACTTACAATCACACCCAAACATAACCCTGGTAAATTCAGAGGTTATGCAATATTTCTAACATTATTTCTCTGAAGCATTTCTAAATTTCATATTCCTATTTTGGACAGTATCATGTTATATTTGAATTAAAGAACTTTTTTTTTTTTTTTTGGTCTTTTTGAGACAGAGTCTCCCTGTAGCTCCAGCTGCCTGGAACTCACTCTGTAGACCACGCTGGCCTCGAACTCACAGAGATCCGCCTGTCTCTGTCTCCCCAGTGCTGGGATTAAAGGCATGCGCCACCATGCCCAGCGCATTAAAGAACTTTTTATACTTTGGTTTTTTTTTCGGTCTTTCTGAGACAGTGTCTCTGTAGCCCCAGCTGTCCTGGAACTCACTATGGAGACCAGGCTGGTCCTGAACTCACATAGATCCGCCTGCCTCTGCCTCCCGAGTGCACTACCATGCCCGGCTATACTTTCTTATATAGTGATTAGATAACCATCTCAGTAATTAGTCCATACACTTAGGATAGGTATTGAGGGGCAGGCGTGGGGGTGTATACATCTTCTCAGAAAGATGGGAGGCTCAGTTAGAAGGATCTCGAGTCCTTGGATCTGAAGTGAGACCCTGTCACAAAAGAAACATCTCCAACCAGCGCTTCACTTCACCTCGTTTTCAGGCCTGGCCTGTAGTAGCCTCTTAATTCTTCTGCTTCCCCTGTGCTATGAAATGGTTACGGTGGACAAAGAGGAGACGGGATCAACAATTTGAAGGATCCACAAGTGATACATATATGATTTGGGACTCTCCTCACCTGTGACTCTAATAAAAGTGAGTAAAGAGCATGCAAATCAAACACAGAAAATGAGATGGGCCAAGAGTGGAGTGAAGAGCCTGTGGGACAAGAGGGAGCACTTTTCTTGACAGCCTAAGTGTTCCGGTTCTTGACCAAGACCCCACGGAGGATTCCCGAGTCTCTGGCTTTTTACCTTGGCCTTCTCAAAGTCCAGGTCTTTGCCGATGGTGGTGAGCAGTCGACACAAGCACTCCAGGGACTCCTCGTCATGGTTCTTCAGCAGCTTCACCACGCAGTCATGCATGATGGCTTCTGTCAGCATTTTGAGTTTAAAGAGCTCCCCGATAAACTTGATGTTGCCGATGGACCTCCGCCGGGCTTTGTCCTTGGCTTCTTCCAGCTCATCGTGCAGCCTGGTTCTCTCCTCTGGCTGTGGTATAGGAAGGAGTGACAGCAGCTCAGATGCTGGAGCTCATGGCATCTGAGAACCTGACACAGCACTGATGGGCCTAACTCCTCAGAAAAAGAACCACAACGAAAAGTTTGCATCTACCCAGACTCCACGAGTCTAGCACCCTCTCAAAAGTCCAAGGTGAGACTGAATTCTTGGGGTGGAGGATTAAGACCCCCTAATATGTGGAAGTTAAGGGACTAAAGCATTCTCCTTAAGACTAAAATATGGCAGAAGTCTCTCTCTCTCTCTCTCTCTCTCTCTCTCTCTCTCTCTCTCTCTCTCACACACACACACACACACATACACATATACACACACACCCTAAAAAAGGCCACAGGTCCTCCTAGGGTGCTGGTAACAGGCCATATGAAAATTCTACTTGACGTGCATAGTGCCTCTCTGTGAAAGTACTCACCACACTGGCAGCCTCGAGTTCCTTCTGCTTTTTCTCGAAGACATCATCATCTGCTTTATCTTTTTCAAACTCCTTCTGGCAGCGGTTTAGCAGCAGCTTCCGGAAGTTCACTGTGTTGCCAGGCTTGTCTGTCATGGGAACTTTCAGCTGCAGCCAGATAGGAAAATGCAAAGGCAGCAGGTTATTGAATGCTGAATGAAACACAGGCAGACATTCCACAAAATGCAGACAGCTTAGCTTCAGTCATCCCCATGATGCAATGGAAAGGTATCTTTGTATCTTATGCAGAAAAGATACACAGTCTCACACACACGAACTCTGTTTTTATGGTTAGGCTTTGGCTGACTTAGAAGCAATGACCCTGCACATACCTAGACTTTTTTTTTTTTTTTGTCTTTTTTGAGACAGGGTCTCCCTGGAGCCCCAGCTGTCCTGGAACTCACTATGTAGACCAGGTTGGCCTTGAACTCACAGAGATCTGCCTGCCTCTGCCTCCCAAGTGCTGGGATTAAAGGCGTGCGCCACCATGGCCGGCCATACCTAGACTTTTTTTAAACTAAGAAGAGCTAACACTTTATTATTATTGTGTGTTGGTATGATGAGCGTGTGGACACCTGAGGACAACTTTCAGGAGTTGGTTTTCTCCTCCAGCCATGGGTTTAGGGATTGAACTCAGGTCATAAGGCTTGTGTGGCAGGCACCTTTATTTACTGGGCTATCTCACCACCTCTTTACTTATGTTTTGAAAGGGTCTCATGTATCCCAGGCAGGTCTCAAACTAGCTCTGTAGCTGAGGATGACCTTGAATCCTTCTGTCTCCACCCTGCAAGTGCTAGGATTACAAGAGCGCACTACCACTCTGAGTTCTTTGTGGTGCTGGGGATCAAACCCAGGGCTATGTGCATGCTAGGCAGAACCCTACCCCTTTCTTTCTTTTTTCTTCTTTTAAATAAACTAATTTAAAGAAATAAACATAAGACAGAGAAAATTTTCTTTTCTTTTTTCATTATTTTTATTTTATGTGTATGAGTGTATTGCCTGCATGTACGTGAGTGCACCTATGTCACAGAGTTCAGAAAAGGGTGTTGGATTCCCCTGGAACTGGAGTTAAGGAAGGTTTGTATCCACCATGCGGGTACTGGGAATAGGACCTGGGTCCTCTGCAAGAACAGTCAGTGCTCTAAACTGCTGAGCCATCTCTCTAGCCCTGAGACAGGGAAAAATTTCATGGCCAAGGGAAAACTTTTAATAGAAGGTGGGATCTTTGCATGCATGAGAGAGAGAGAGAGAGAGAGAGAGAGAGAGAGAGAGAGAGAGAGAGAGGTGGAGGAGGATTTCATTTGAAGACTTTTGATACACCTTTTATGAGAAGGTCCTAACTCTGTAAAGCTAGTACTCAATAAGATCTTCAATACAGGAGGATGTGCATTTATTATGTATTTTAATTGGGAGGGAGTATCATACTATGTAGCCCAGGATGGCTCTGAACTTGCTATGTAGCCCAACCTACTCTTGAATTTGCAGTCTTCCTAACAGCCTCCTGCAGCATGTGCCAGAACACCTAGCTTTCTTATGTGACAAAAGAGTAATTTTCTTCAAGTTTGGCCTGATGATCAGTCATTCTTGAAACATCTGACACGAGAAAGACTAGAGTGGATGGGAAGGCAGTGTAGAGGCAAATGCTCAGAGTTTGCTCAAGTTTTAGCAACACCCAATCATAACTGCTTTCTAAAAACTACTATAGCTTATGTGTTTGGTGTTACTTACATGCAAACACAGACCTGTTCTTATGAACGTATCTAGAAACCAAAGAAAGCAGATTGTAACACTGATTCTAAAAAAAATAATCTCTTTCACAGATGAAATCCTGCTGAATCGTGTAACATGCCTGAAATAATAAATAGTCTGGCCCTAGGCTGAGTGAATTAAAAATAAGAAGTTCTCTGTTTTTTGCTGTTGTTTTAGAGACAGGGCTCAGTAGCTTGGGCAGGCCTAGAACTCATTATGGAGCCTAGGCTGGTCTCAGATCTGGACCCTGCTGCTTCCTCTACCTCAGCACTGGGACTGCAGGTGTATGCTAGCCCAACAAGCTGATTTATTTATTTTTTTTGGCTGTAGTGAGGATTGAACCCGAGGCCTCATACAAGCTATGCAAGTACTATACCATCGAGCTCCATCCCCAGCCTAGGATATACTATATTTGCATTTATAAAATGTTTTCAGGCTTCAGAGATGGCTCAAAGGTTAAGGGCATAGACTAGGCATGTAAAGGAGCCACACTGCCAGTATCCACATTGGGTGGCTCACAACTGCCTGTAATTACACAGGGATCTGATGACTCTGTCCTTGCTGGGTGTCTGCATCACATGTATACACTCACATGCACTCAAATAATTACAAATAATAAAAACTGAAATTTAAAAAAACCCATTTTTATTAGATAGCCCTGACTGTCCTGGAACTTGCAGTGAAACTCCTGCCTGTGCTCACAGGAGTTATGGGAGTACCACAGTAGGTTTTACTTTTTATTTATTTAATTTTGAGATAGGATCTCTTATAGTCCAGGCTGGCCCTGAACTCCTGATCCTGCTGCTTCACCATCTCAGATATGCTACCATGTCTGGCTCACAATAATCCTAACTAGAGGGAGGACTCTTGAGAGCTGTGATGCTGAAACGTGCTTATGCTCTCTGCAATGTACAAAAGATCATTTAACTTACATTCCAACCAACCCAGGGGCAGATGTTATGTCATACATCCAGCAGGAAACAGTAACTCAGGAAGCAGGAAACATCAGGAACTAAATTTTCAGATAAATACAGAAAAACTACTATAACCCTCTTAAGTTCAGGTCACACAAATATAAGCAACTGTGGCCAGGCCTACTCCAGGCCTTCAAGAAGAGAAATGTGGGCACACCTGTTGTGGCACATGCCTGTGATCCCAACACTTGAAAGGTGGTGACAGGAGGATCGGGAGTTCAAAGTCATTCTTTTTTTTGTTTTTTTGAGACAGGGTCTCGGAACTCACTATGTAGACCAGGCGGGCCTTGAACTCACAGAGATCGCCTGTCTCTGCCTCCCAAGTGCTGGGATTAAAGGCGTGCGCCACGACGCCTGGCTCAAAGTCATTCTTACATAGTGAGTTTGAAGTCAGCCTGGACTACATGGAACTCTGCCTTAAACAACAATACAAACTTTCTTTTTAAAGGAAGAGAAATGTTATATGAAAGGAAAGATTTTCCAAAGCAAAAGTCATAACAAGACCATGACTTTTTTTTTTTTTTTTGGTTTTTTTGAGACGGTCTCCCTGTAGCCCCAGCTGTCCTGGAACTCACTATATAGATCAGGCTGGCCTTGAACTCACTGAGATCTGCCTGCCTCTGCCTCCCAAGTGCTGGGACTACAGGTGTGCGCCACCACGCCCGGAAAGACCATGACTTTTATAGGACACCAAACCCATGACGATGCATTAAGAAATATAGCACAACCAAAATGTACACCCAACAGGCTGGTATAAGAGAATACTAATGTGACAAGATTCTAGAACTATCTCAAGGTTCTAAATTTTCCTACTTTTATCCAATTTATTGTACAAGAAGACAAGTAAAACAGGGCCCGACTCAGCTTCTCAACGTATCTACCAGCATCCACTACATAAAGCGCAAAACTGACTGAATCGGGAAAGACAGCCTGGTGGTACCTGGTGCTGCCCAACCCTCAGCCCAGCTCCCAGCACTTGCACCTTCAGCTACACGGTTGAGACTCTGTCTCAAAGACCCACCCTCATGCACAAAAAAAGTGAGGGTAGAACCTGGGCCACACGCTCTCAGCCCTTAATCGGTTGTTTCCTGTATCACATGTAGAAAATGTGGAAAACAACAATCCAAGCTACACAGTAAGAGGATAGAGTCAAAATAACTACCTCAATCCCCAAAGGTCAGGAAAATGAAAAAAAAGGGCAACTTTCAATGATTTAGGTGATAGGAAGAGACAGAAATCAGATGAGGGAGAGCTGGAGATGTGGCTCAGCAGTTAAGAGCACTTGCTGCTCTTCCCGAGAACCCAAGGTTGATTCTCAGCATCTGTACTGGGCAGTTAACAACTGCTTGTAACTGCAGTTCCAGAGGATCTGACACCCCTTCTGGCCTCCACAGGTACCCCCACACACGTGGCATACACTCAGAGACACACACACACACACATAAAAATAAATATTAACAAAATTAAAAACGGAGATGAGGCAAGGGTGAAGGCCCCAGCCCAAAGGCGGAAAGCTGTGCTGCAATCCCTGGGGAAGACTCTCAGGAATTCCTCTAACTCCTTTTGTGTAAGGATGGCTAGGTCAAGGATCCAAAGGTTTGCCACTTGCTATATACATAAAGGCAATTTTTTAAAACCAAGTTTCAGTTTCAATATCTAAAATAAGAGAGGCTTAGTGCCTGTATCCAACAGGGGAAGCAGCTTTGGGATGCAGTGAAGAATACTGTGTGGGAGCTCTTTAATGCATCACAGTAAAGTCGCAACCAGGATGTTAAGACTTCAGTGAGCTTCAGCCCCTTTATCTATAAGACACTATAATGACTACAGAGTGAGAGATGCTGAAAAACAGCTGTTGATGTGGTTGGGGATAATTGGAAGCCTGGCACTGCCAAGTAACATTGGCTAGGCTATTATTTAGTTTTCACCAAATCTGTTTCGTTCACAAATAGAGATAACATCTGTTAGGACTGGTGAGAAAACTATATAGTAAAGCAAAGACTAGTGGCCTGTACATAGTTAGGGTCCAAGAGACAACAAATATAGCCATAACAGGTGAGGCCATGTGTAAAAGGCTTATGCTTAAAAATTAAGAGTAAATTATTAATAATAGTTATCAAAGAGAGAATATAATGTTAGCTCACGAGGCAGTAAGGAAAGAATCAGAAGAAAACAAGAGTGAGCATTTGTTATTGCTAAAGAAGGTCAAGGAAATTTTCATGTGTGGGGCATAAAGAACATGTGTTTTTAGATACATTCCCCAGGGAAGTATTAAAACAGTTACTACATGTTAGAAAGAACGATCCCTCAAGGAGAGGCTGTCTAGCTACATAGCTGCCTCAAGATTTGTTTTGGAACATGACCTTCATGTCCTCTGGAGACGATGAC